GCCTATATATATCAGGTTGTAAATATATAAGGGGAAATTTCTCGCGTTGCTACGCACTTTCGCTCCTCCTACCCTAAAAAACTTTGAGATGACCACCAGTAATTTTGATAGGACATAATTTTAATTTAACCCTCTCCCCTTTGTAAGCCAATGTAAGCTTTAATTTTGCGGAAAAGTTCCAGAAAAATTAAGGTGTATTATATAACACGAGCCGACCCGCGGCGTATCATACGCCGCTATTTAGTTGTTTTATTTTCTCTTTTCAGTAATTCATAATTTGTGAATTCGACAGTACCAATGCTGCCACTGAAAATATTTGCTTTAAAACACTAACCCCCCCCCCCCCTTTCCCCCAACCCCTACCCTACACCCCCCCCCCCCGTGAAAGCAGTCTCCTCTTAGTTACCTCCTGTAAGTTTTAAAATCGTTTCAAACTAAATTATCTGCCCCTAATAGCCGTCAACAAACGATTTGTAAACATTTAGAGTGAACTACAGCTCACCAGATCATGTGGGGGTGGGGTGGGTGTGGTAGTAATAGTGATAGAGAGGAAGAGAGGGGACTGCAAAGGCGCGCTTGCAGCTTGTTTTCTAACGGCTCCCAGAAGAGAATTATATATATAGATTGTTCCATACCACCAACATTCCCAATATCACATTTGGGTTATGTACTATGTGCACCATATTAAAGATAGTTGTGTAGTGGATAGTGAAATTGAAAAAAAAAACTTGATCTAAAAGCATTTTTTCCCTTGTATTTCTACAATAGTATTGTCGTGCTATATTTATTTTGGTATGTCTAAAATAACTGGCGAGCAAAAGAATTAGTGACCTGGAAACGATGACCTGCAAATACTCGCTGATTTTTTTTTAAAAATAATTCTATTCGTGGTTTATAGCCTTGCGACCTGAAAGGGTGTACAGTCAGGGTATACGTGAGATAAAAGACTTCTGGAGTTTGTGTTGAGAAGGTTGAGAGAAGAAATTATACGAGAAATGGAAGACTGCGAGAGTTTGTGTTGAGAAGGTTGGGAGAAGGTTGGGAGAAGGTTGGGATAAGAAATTATATGCAGAAATGGAAGACTTGGAGAGTTTGTTGAGAAGGTTGGGAGAAGAAATTATACGAGAAATGGAAGATTGCGAGAGTTTGTTGAGAAGGTTGAGAGAAGAAATATTTTTAAAAAGTGCAAAGTTGGTGTGTCGTGTAGGTTTCATGATACTGGTCGCTGGGTGCGATGGATGAAGGTTCTGGAATCGGAAGGTTAGACGTGATCACGTGGTGTTCTGTAGGTAGGGGTCTATTGTTTAACTTGAGTCAAAGGTTTGATTATTTAATTAGTTTCCTATTTTTATAGTGAGAAAATTGAAAATATTTTCTTATCAAGTGATTGGTCGCTTTTTTATTCTAGTGGATGGAGTGGGGTGGGGCAAGGAGGGGGATGTGTGTGTATTAGTGATCGGACAAACAGCGGCCTGTTGTGATATAATTAAAAAATGTGTGGTGGTACCGTCGAAAAGTATTATATTAGAAGATATAAACTAAGATCTTAGCTCGACAAAATACCGCCTTAATAAGTTAATACGATCGATCTCGTTTTCTTAGGCTTAATATCGCCACAGCATGACTAAATACCACATTAACACACCAAAAATACCACCTTAACAATAACCAATACCACATTAGCATCCAGAAATATCGACTTAACAACACGGAAAAATATCGCTTTAGTATGACCTAATACCACATCAGCATGACGACCAAATCCAAATGGTGCATTTATCTGATATGATGTAATCCGCAAAGATTGATTGTAAAAATTAGTATTAGAGTGCCATAAAAATATCATGGTGTGTGTGTATGTACGCGATTGTGTCCATGCGTATATATGTGTATATAACAGATGATGCTGTTCTAAGGAATTTTTATATAAAGTAAAAGCTTTGAGGGGTGGGTCACCATTTGGTGTTATAAACTTATATTAAATATATAATGTATGTACGATCTCTTCAGATTTTCCCAGGTCTTATGACGTTTAGGTCGAGCGAGTTGTATAGACGCGAGTGCTAGCTCAAAAGCCTCGAGTTCGATTCCCCGCGTGGCACATTTTGGAAGAGAAAGTAAAAGAGTCAAATGTCAGCGCAAGGTCATCCGCGGCGATAGGTACACAGCTCGAAGATAACTTTTTGATAAACTGAAATAAGTAGTTTAAAATATCTAATTATAACACCAAACAAGGATGTCCAGAAATTAGACACAGGTTCAGAGAAAAAAATACATGAGGTAGACACCACTTGTAGACTCAAGTACGCAACTTAGTCAATTAAACTTTTAATTATCTCTCGCTTGCAGTCCGATATTTATTTTTATATCTCATGTAGGCCAGTTTCTCTCATTCATTTGTCAAAACCACATGTTGTCATTTATCATGTATCCTTATTAGTCGACTAGTAAATGATACTAAAATTATAACCTTGTGATCAAATTATTGATAATTTTTCTATCTTGAGATTTTTAAACTATGTTGATTTTTATGGTTTAATGAATATAGTCGAGTTCGGATCTCGGTCGGGACTATAGACCGTCCCTGAGTCCACCCAACCAGTGTTTCTTTCATGTATCTTAAGCACCCCCTCCCCCACCTAAACAACTCTACCGCCCCAAAACGAATGAGAATTTTTTATATAGAAAATATATACTTTAACCCGTGTCCGCCGCCTCCCCCCTCCCGAAGATTCTTTTTGAAAGAAACACTTCACCCAATGCCCAAATCTTTAGTCTAGTCATTTCCCACTTTCCTTCCTTCTGTCATTTCCCAGTAGGCCTACTTGAAGTCTAGGTAGCCCTACATTTGTGTTTCCAACCATTACACAATGTCTTTAGTTCAAAAAGCGTCTAATATTTCTTTATGTTCTCTCCCTCTACTAGTATTCTGGGAAATTGTGTCTTGTCCTAAGTGTGTAAGGGGGGGGGGGGGGGAATGACAGCTTCCGTATTACAATTTTAGCCTAGCTAGAATAATCTTTACTATAAATTACATTTACTTAATTTACATTACGAGTGTCGTTTAGGCTTATGAGAAGGCGGGGCTAACAGTCGCAATTTTGTCTATTTGTTGTATTATACCCCTTTAAATCAATAAGGGGTCGTCCATAAATGACGTCACACTCGTAGGGGGGAGGGGGGTCGATAATTTTGTGACGATGTGTGATGAGGGGAGGGGGGGGGGGGGGTTCAGATGATGCGACGTCACACTTTAGCTTTATAGATAAGAAATGTTAGAAAACGAATTTTAGACGTTATTTATAGCGTTTTAGAAAACAGTTTTAATAAATTATAATAGGAATTGATTAAAATACTCTATTTTGACAGAGCTCAGACAAGATTTTGAAAAAATATCGATGTTTAAAAAAAAATTAAACTGCAATTTTGAGAGGGGTTGTATGGTGAGGTGTGACGTCATTTTAGGGGGGGGGGGTCTGGCTTTTTGTGACGACGTGTGACGGAGGGGAGGGGGGTAGGTAAAAATCGTCAAAAAAGCGTGACGTCATTTATGGATGACCCCTAATACAAAGACTGAACAAGAGGCAATACGTACATTTAAATTTAAACAACATCATTAACGTTTTTGAAGTAGAAAAATGCAGCAAAAGCCTTAGCTGCGCCACTGAAGGAATCCCATATGCAGATGAGCAGTGTGTCAAGTAGGCATCTAATTTTATATTTAAACAAAAGGCTTATTTAATAACACAGTTCTCTGGGTTTTCTCAAAATGATCCGAACAGTTTCTTCCAGGCATCTCTTCGGTAGGTTCCGCCCCCCCCCCCCTCCCAAGAAAGTATACCCCCAGTGTCCACCCCACGGAGAAAATAGTCTGGAAGAAACACTGAATGCGAGTTATCGAAATATATGTATAATTTGCTTAATATACCGAGTATTGCATTCAATATATGTTGATAAACATTTCGGCAAACGGATAAGTATCATTCAGTTAAGTTATTTAGGCCTAACTACGTTTTTTCAAATTTCTTTTTTTTTGGGGGGGGGGGGGGGGAAAGGGGAGGGTAGATAGAGTGTAGAATCTAGACCTAGCCTAGTGGTAATCTAAAATAGCCATAGGTGGCACTAGTTACGAATGTACATCGTTTCCGGTAATGGAGCACAATTTTATCCAACATGGGCGGTACTCGGTATTATTTAATATAATCGATTACTGTTTCGATCCCTTAAAGCCCAAATAAAAATATAAAAATATAACGTTTTCAAAAGAATAATATTCATATCATACACGTAGATCTATAGATCTATCCTTGTTTATTAAAAATAGTTTGTGAAACGGAAAAAACAAACAACTGACAACACTTTACAAAAATAAGCACTTTTTCATTTTAAAATTATTTAATGCACACATTTTGGTCTCTTATGTATAGGCCTAACGACGATTGATAAAATATTAATACATTTTGTATAAATTATTTACGAACAGTATAGATTAGTATAGAACAATTATTAATTTTAGAAATGTGAAATGCATCTGTTGCTGCTGCGAAATCGACACACCAGTACACTGATTTAGAACAGACGTTGAGATTCTTTGTGTAATTCTATTTAATTGTATTGTCTATTTTAGGCGTAAGCCTTTAACAGAATAAGTTTAGTGGTTAGCCTAGATAAATAAATTAAGTTTAATTTAATTTTTTTTCGGATTTGACTAAACATCTAATTTTAAAGAAGGAATACGACTTAAGTCTTCGAATTAGAACCACACCGAGAGCCCATTTATTGGATAAATAAATAAATAATAATGGAGAAAGCTGTTCATTAATTTATATTAAATAGAGCTCGATAATCTCCAGTTATAAAAAAGCAGGCGTTAGAACTAAATCTAGATCTAGGTCTAAAGTTAAAATTATTAAATCCCATTTATTTGAAGTTGTCAAACCAAAACTACTTTAACACAATTTCCGACTATTGGAATCAGCCAAAACGTAAAAAAATAATGTAATCGAATACATCCAAAAATGTGTTAAACTTCCATTTTCTGCAGGTGAAAAACACTTCATTTTAGATGTAAAAATAATAATAATTCTCAATTGTGTTTTATCAAAATAATCATACTCCATTAACACCATATTGTCAATGTGATGAAAGTAAATAGTTTGCTAACAGTACGGTTAATACAAAGTAGAATAGATCTAAAATGGTAGGCCTAACCAAGCACTACTAGTCTTTTGATTTTTTTGGCTTGCGAGTCCCTTGATTTCGATAGCTGGATCAATAAAAAGACATTTTTTGACATTTCCAAACATGGTAGATACAAATTTTCAGAAAACACTATTTTGTTGATAAACATCTCTGGATGTACGAAAACACTGCTTATCTTGCTAAATTATTACACTGCAGGTGCCAACTGTGAAAAGTAGGCCTACCTGACTAGTGACTAGCGCTAGGCAATCTATCGCTTTTTAGCGTAATCAATTCGGCCGTCACTAGTAATGTAGGGATAAGGTAACTAATAAATATGGCTTAAATATGGATATATTTTTGCATATTTTACTAAAATACTAAAGATAATTGAATATTAAACCACATTTAAGGTTTAAATCAATAAAAATGTCAGGAAATTAAAGTTTAACAACGATGTTACAGATACTAAATTTGCTATTAAAAACAGCGGCCATCTTAAGAAACTATTATTTTGAGTCATTTCCCTTTAATTTCTATTTGTATGGAAATGTATTGATGTTTGCTGTTAAATAGGTTAGTCTTGTGTTTAAATACAAAGCATGCGTTTTTTTTTTTTTTAATTCTGCCCTTTAAACAATTTAATTGACTGACAATAAACATCAGTTCTATAATTATTATTATGAGATGCAATTTTTATACATTAAGATACTCCCTATTTTTATAGAGCTACCACTACATATCTAATGTTTATTTAAATATTAGTTTGAGTTCATTCTTATTGTTTGTGTTATTGTTTGTTTCCTATTTTCATTTAATATTTTCATGCTTTTTTCCTTTAATTAGTGATTTAATCACAAATGACGTCCCGTTTTTGACCTCTCTTCACCTTAACCCCCCCCCCCCCACCCCCATTTTTGCCGTCACGAAATAGTCGTAATGTTGAAAATTACCTTTTTGCCCTGTCTATTAAAAAGTCAAGCCATAATTCTAATGAAAAATATTTTTAGCATTTTTGTATTAGGCGAAATACATAACGTTTCACGTTTCTTACCCCTCCCACTTCCCGCGTAAAACGTCGTCTCAAAACCAGTTACTCCACCCCTTAAGTGTGCGATGTCATTTAGGGTAGATGTCAAGCCCTATATACATTTTGAATAACCTTTGTTGTCAAAATGTTGATACCAAATACCCAAAATGAGTTATATGGGGTTGCCCATAAACGATGTCACATATGCAATGCTAATGTGACGTCAACTTACGCAGGGTGGTCGGGGGGGGGGGATGCGTGACGTCTATTTTGGAATCTTCTATAAAGCTGTGCTCAGTGAAAATGAGGAACAGACATAAAGCGTTCGTTTTCATGCATACATTTGTTATAACTATTGCAAGCCTGTTGTACTAAGCGGTGTTAAACAACCTCAGCACATCATCCCCGCCAAAAAGGGCCTGCCACTAAATGCCTACCGACGAAAATAGGCCGTACTATATTGACTCCAAATGTAACCTCTACTCGTCTAGTCTAATTCTATATATCTACGCTATGACACATATAGTGGGTGGTTTTTTTTTTGGTAATAATGGATGGTGGGGAGGGGTAAACATTGACTACTGAAGAAATCAAAAACTGATGACAGCAGAAGGCAAAGAAAAAAAAACCCATGTGGTATTCAAATGTAACTAATTAAAATTTGAACCTATTTTAAAAAACACAATAATCTTAATTCAGAAAAAGTGTAGGCCTAAGACTAATGTCTACAGACAAAATAAACAACTAGGCTTAATTAAATGGATCGCCCTTAAATGACGTCATACTTTTCCCGACAATTTCCCTCTCACCCAATAGTTACTAAAAGCAAGATGATGATTTAATATCATATCGCAGTTCTACTATACCCGAACCCTTAATCACAATTTCTAACGAAAACGAATATATTCTTCATCATTTTTGAAAAAAATATTTTACACCGTCCCATATTTTGAGTTCAACGTCATTTATGAGGAATATGGACGACCTAATAATTGACAAGTTAAGGGGTCATCCATAAATGACGTCACGCTTTTTAAATACGATTTTTACCCCCCCCCTCCCCTCCGTCACACGTCGTCACAAAAAGTCAGACCCCCCCCCCTAAAATGACGTCACACATCAGCCTACAACCCCCCCCCCCCACCCCCCCCCCCCCCCCTCAAAATTGCAGTTGATTTTTTTTTTTAAACATCGATATTTTTCCAAAATCTTGTCTGAAATATGTCAAAATATAGTATTTTAATCAATTCCTATTATAATTTATTAAAACTGTTTTTTAAAAAGCTAAATAATGTCTAAAATTCGTTTTCTAACATTTCTTATCTATAAAGCAGAAGTGTGACGTAGCACCATCTGAACTCCCCCTCCCCGTCATCACACATCGTCACAAAATTACCGACCCCCCCCCTCCCCCCTACGATTGTGACGTCATTTATGGACGACCCCTAATCAGTACAAAAGGGTTTAGTAAATGTTGGACCTCCCAAAATTTTTTGAGATCTTGGATGTACATACATACATAGCCTTCATTTCACTTGAAAATGAAATTAAAGATAAGAAGACGGCCCTCTGTCTTACTTATATTAAACAAGACAGGTATGTGTATTAAACAACAAAGTCAACACAATATACATACGAATAGACATTTTTATCCAGGGAAACTACTCTAAATTTTATTTGGAAAGATGGCCGCTGTTTTTTTTCTACTAATATTTATCTCAAACACCTAGTTTAAAGTTAGTTTCATGTTATTTAAATTGTTTTGGTCACTGTTTGTTATTTTAAATCAATTATCTGTGATATTTTGTAAAATTTTACTTAAATAAACTTATTTAAACAAAAATATTCATCAGCTACCTCTCCCGCACATTACTATTGCAGCCGAATTGATTACGCTAAAACGATAGATTACCCGCTAGGCCTACTCAGAAGATTTTTCTCCCCAACGTCTCCACTTAGTTGGCAAAAGATAGCTCTGCGCAGTGACCTATGGCTAGGGTTAGGTATGGGATTAGGGTTGGTGTTAAGTGTTAGGGTTCTACGGTTGTAAACATATGCAATTATGCATGCGCAGTACCATCGAAAACATCGCCGCAATGGCAAGTTGTAGTTTCTCTCCATTGCGCATGCGTGCGTATCTTTTTCCGGCTAGCATCGGCCTTAAATTAACTGATTCAATTAGTTGCCGTCCAACTGTTGGACAACTGATCTAGATCTCTAGACTAGATCTAGGGTAAAATCATGATATAGCTTCGGAAATTATTGGGTTTGTTGAGTTTCGGTAACAAGAAAAAAACCTGCAGAAGATTTGCGACAACTAGCTCTAGTTCTGTTAGTAAAATAAATAAAACGATTAGGCCTAGATTTACTAAAGTTAAAGTAGTAAGAAGAACTAGAACAATGTTTAGTAGCAACAATAATTAGCACATACGCTTAAAATAATTAGAAATACAAAATAATTAGCAAAACAGTATTTAAAATGCAACTAAAATCAATCCTTGTAGGCCTACATTTTTAAACATTATGTATTAAAAATAGTATGGCGGCAAATAAATGATGGTTTACAGTATTTCCGGTGGTTTTCGGAACAGCTCGACAGACTACACCATGGTTTTACTGTTTTTTTACTGCTGTACAGTTCCAGAATAATAACCGACGCTATATCGTGATTTTACCAGATCTAGAATATAATTAAATCTTAGAGTTAATGGACCTGACCTAGTAAAGTCTCAAAGGTATTCGAGACGCCCATTAAATATTTTTAAAATCATACACAGCATAGTTAAATTAAATAGGCCTATAGGGCCTAATAATATTAATTTAATAGATTTTCTCTCTAAATGTAGTATGGAAATGATGTAAAACTGAATGTTGACAATTTTAAATTGTTCCTTAGACTCAGATTATTGTTCAAGTGAATTGAATACAATTTTGAAAAGTAAAAAAAAGTAACAAAATGATTTTTAAAAAAATAATGGTTAAATCTATATTCTGTGACCTTCCTCAGCTAACTTATTGTAAAACTCAATTATGAAGACGGAAGAGGAAACTTCCATGCAAACAGATTCTATTGAGCCAAAAAAAGAAACTCCAAGCACTAGTGGGGGCAATGAAAATTTTGTTGTGTTAGACATGGCAGGTGATTCTGAAGATTCTGACAAAGATGACAAAAGTGGAAAGGACACAAAAGAGAAGACAATAAAGTTAAATACTTCTGATATTGGTGGAAAAGCTACAATATCAGATTCTGTTTCTAAACCAGGAGCCTCCAACACTCGACTTAGGAAAAAGCCCAAAGCTCCAGTTGTGGATGTGAACAGCTTAAGAAGTTTGTACTTTAAATATTATTTTTTTGATAGCACACTAAATGCTTGAAATATATTTTAAATTTTATTTACAGTTGAAATATTAATTTTTTTATCCCTCCGCTTGACAGCAGTTTTTTATTTGCATAAAAAATATTCCACAGAGCGAAAGTGGCAATTAAAAGTGTATCCTTTGCATGCTGAAGATCTTCAGTTAAACTATATGAGTATACTTTGCAAACTTGCTTCCGAAAGTCTCCTTTACATTCCTAGTGAAGGGCGTCATGGGTAACTTTTCTTCATTTCTTTTCCTTATTAATTTTATTTAATACTGTTTTAACTGCATTTCCTTGTGTAGAAAAAAAATGAAGCAACAGCTTGCTTATTTTTGTTGATTATTGCAGACAATTTTAGTTGGTGACTAGTGAAACAATTGACTTTGAAATAAAAGAACTGGTAATAAAATTGAAAACCTTTTTTTTTAATCAGCAAAGCTGAATTGTATGTGGCAACACAAAAAGAAACAGCAGCGATCATTGGTAAACTGCTAAGGATGGGATTTCACCATAAGCTGTTAAGTATAGAGGTAGTAAGGAAAGATACCGGTGGCAAAGAGGATGGGGATGAATCAAAGAAGGAGTGCAAAGGTTTGATTCTGTTCATTTCTTGGAATACTTATCTTGTGATTCTTATCAGGCTTTACAAATTAATTATGTACAACTGTTTTTGTTAACATTTTCTATTTTTCTAAATTTACAATTCTATTTTTTGACAGCATTTCTTATGTTTGACAAGTTTCTTTCCAAAAAGATTTTTGATGCAAAAGGTGAAAAAGGTAAGTAATTAATGTGTTTCAAGAGTTGTCACTTGTTAAGTTGATCTGAACAATTTACTTTTTGCCTAAGATTAAGTGCAAATTAAAATAATGGATGAAGCTTTGAAAAAGAAATGGCATATTGAACAACTCAATATCAGAGCTTATGTACAAAATTTAAAAAAAATTTATTGTACATTTTTTTTTCTTTTAAAACTATTTTGGTGTATTTATATACCATTTGAAAATGATTTAAAGGTATTATTTTTTAATTTAAACATGCAGTGTAATCTTAACCAGTAATTGTTATTAAGAAAGGACTTGGTGCCTGATTATCAGAATGATCAGTATTAATCATTTGATTTTGCTTGAAGTTTATTTAATATTAATTTAATTTAATTCTTGTTTTTAATATTTGACAAATACAAAATAACCATTTTACTTAAAATATTAAGTTCTTGTTTCAAATACTATTATGAACAGTATAAATGCATGAGTAATATGAACACTTTAAATGTGTAGGAGAATAAATTGTATTTCTGCAAGTTCAGCTGTAGAGATATAAAACATTTTTTAACTACAAAGTAATTTCTCTACCTAAGGTGCAAAGATGGATATAGAGTATATTTTCAAATTTCAATTGCGTGTCGGCTATGAATGTATCTATTTTTTGTAAAAATCTCTTATTCTTGCTTGTTAGAAAATGTAGTTTCCATTTTTGCAGACTTCTCAGTTTGTCTCACATAGCCAGTAAAAAAAGATTCAAGAATAAACAAGCTCTCATCCTTGGTAGATACCCTGGCAACAAATATTCACTTTCCCACTACTGGGTTGCTGCTAACAATATGGAGGATTTAAACTGTGCTTAAACACAGCACCTAGCCATAGCTTAAAACTGTCATCCTTTTAAAGCACACGTTTAAGCCAGCCTAAGCTTCTACATGTACTTTAGTGGGTTTTTATCCTATTATAATTGCAACAAGAATCATTGCAATGCGAATTCATCCTCATCTTCAGTTTAACTGAGTAGATCTGCCAAGGATTCGTGTCCCATTTAGATGCTACATGCTTTATCGTTACATCAACGTTGTTTTGCTCCAAAGTCCATGACTTATGTTTGAGCATAACACAGCTACACAACTTCTCTTCGATTGCATAAGCCATTTGTGAATTTCATCTGAGTAATCGTGTACTGTTAAATCTTGAAAATGCGAAATGTTTGGAATACAACATCACCTTGATTCGAGACCCAATTCATCTTTGTTTATTGGGTAAGAAATCAAAAGGATGGCGAACTTATTTCTTAGCTTAATGTTAAATCGGTTTGTTACTGGGTAGCGTCAGCTGATAGAGCAGAGGATCAAAGCAGTTTACGTGCTCATATAATGTCGGCGCCTTATATGCTAAAAGAAAACTAAGTAGTAATATGCCAATATGGGGAAACTTGTCCTAACGAAAACTATCTTGCAGCATTGTCTTGGGATATATCTACACATTGATTGCTCAAGACATATCTCATAAGCTGTGATGCTTCTCGCAATCGTTAACCTCGTAAGAAGCTATCACAGCCGTTTCAATAATCATCTGTTTATCCCCAACTTGTGATCAGCATAACTCTGCATTGTCATTTGCAGCTTGCTCACCAATTGGCAGTTTGTTTTTTAAAAGCAACACTGCTGCTAAACCGTAACTCACATTATTGTTTTAACAAGCCATGCTCTTTTTATATCCCAAAGATCTCTGTCATAGCAGGTTCCTCCAGTGAATATTCTACAGATGCTGTGAACGTCATGTCAGCAATATTTTTTATTATCTTTATTTATAGGATATAGCTTATCCCATCAATCACATTGTTTTTAAAATTAATGCTAAAATGGTTTAATTAAATATCCTGATATAGCAAATTTGAAAAGCAATTAAATCTAGTCTATGTTAAAGTACTATAATCAGCTTTTCAAATATTAAACACTTAAAGGCTTTATTTATTTTAAAAAATGTGTCTCTTGTTATACAATGTAAAATTTCAAGCATAGCTTGCAGTAACAGTAGATTAAAATCTATGCTTAGCCCTAGATTACTCGAAATATTTAAAAAATATTGCTGACACCTCAACATCTTCAGAAACTTTCCTTTTAATTACTACTGGAAGTTTCAACACGTTTACGACGGACATTGGAATTACCTGCGTTCGCTGACAGTGTGTGAAATCAACTGATGGTTTGATACCCAGCATTCTCTTACGTCGCCACAATCTTAAAATCTTATTTCAGGAATGCTCATTGAGAAAATAGTCACATTAAACAAGCTGCCCAAAGCGGCCACCAAAGATTTCATCGGGGCCCTTTTCCCATTTGCTACTGAAATTGAAATAATTGAGAGCGACAATCCGGATGAACGGTGAGTAGCCCAGGCACTATATGTTGATTTGCAAAACCCATTTCACTGCAAGGCATTCTGCCTTCTGTTGAGCTAACTCTGCTCAATTGCACGAGTATATCGAACAACCTGAAGTCATCGGTGTCAAGCTTTAGCATACACTTCATGTCCTGAAACTTAACAGGACTGCTGAAATCACTCAAGACCAAGCTGCTGCAATGTAACCTTCTCATTTGTTCAAGGAATGCTGAAATGCCCTTGTGGTCTACTCTGCAACTACATTACAGAGGTATAGAACTTTTCAACTTGTACAACTGCAGCTGTTATCTACATACATGTAAGATAAAGACATCAAGATTTTAGTTGCCAAAGTTCATCCACCACGCCTACAGCAACATCTGCATTGATAGCTGCCTGATGCCCAGAAATAACAAGCCTTGATCATCTTTAAGCTATGCGTGCACACTTCTAGATTTTTGTACAGTGGTCTTGGATTAATCTCAAATACAAACCACCTGTTTCAAAATCTTCCTCTTGAACTTCAAATTGATGCTCAGTGGAACTAATCATATGTGAAACACATTCTTATTCAACCTACATACTCTACATCTTGAGGCCAAGGATGTGGTGAGCATTGCTGTTACCATTACTTCATTTAGAATCAAGCTACATCTGAAGTTCAAGGCTAAATATTTTCGCTGAGGATCACCAATTGAAGGCTATTTGAAGGCTGAACCTTTCTTCATCATGCTGAGAAACTTCATTTTTGTGTTTCCAACAATTCATGAGAATCAACGTTTGTGACTATTTAATCCAGAGTAGAAATAGAAATATTTGGTTTACATGTTGTTTTTTCTTTTAAATATTAAATTATATAACTTAAACCTTCTATAAATTTTAAATATGTTAGCAAAGCCACAGTGAAGTGCAAGACGCCAGTTACATCTTTGTTGGTTTACAAGTCTTTCAAACGTCTAGAAATAAATGATGTACATGTTAAACTGACAGTTGATGATTCAGGTAAGACAATGTATAACATTTTATTTAAATTACTTAATGAATAAATGCAATACCTAATTAGCTAACTTCCTGTGAGTTATTACAAACAGTTAAATTTCCCAACAGCTCAGGATTAGATTAGCTGCTATTACTTTTACAAGTCACAAATCAAAATTTTCATCTAGTGAAAAATAAATCCGTTCTCCTTGTCTTACTTATTAGTGTACCCAAATATATTTTAAAAGTTACAGCTTTATGGGAAAACGTGTTAAAAATGATTCAAGTTGATTTATATAGAGGGGTAATTATCCAAATTTATACATTACAATGTATAAGTTGTTAAAAAGTTGGCTCTTCACCTGTGCTTGAGCACTTACAATTTGTTTATATTGGTATTTTTTCCATCTTCAGTGAAAGCCATAACTTTGCCACCAATGTTTTTCATTCCTCCACCTGAGAAAAAAGATACTGGACCTCCAGATTCTATGGAAAGTTTAAATCAAAGTTCACTCCCACGAAGGCCAATGATGACTTCATTAACCAGACGTGTTCAACAAATTAAAAAAAGAGCACTACTGACTCGAAAAAAACCAACCCGTGGGCAAATTATGCGAGGTCAGAGACCAAATCAAGGAATGGATGATAACATTGGGGATGGATTGAGAGGACCTGGTGGTCGTCGTTCTTTGACAAGGCGTGGAGATGGACGATTTGCCTTAGAGATTAAAAACCATGGGCCAGGTAAACAATCAGCTTATAAATTTAACTTTTGCTTTTGTCATTATTAGACAATCTATTTACTGAGCTTCTATTCCATTTTAGTAAAGTATTTTGATATTTAGTATAGATAATACTTAAATTCTCTCTTGGCTTATAATTTATTATAGAAGATTTCTGCAAATATGAATGATAGTTTTAATATAATATATGTATTTTATGCTGTATAGATAAATGATGTATTAAGTTTGGTTCAGTCTGAAAAAAGTTGAGTAAAGCAAGCTGATTATAAAAGTCATATAAAGCTAGTGATTATAACTTCTGTTTTTTAGGTAGTCGAGACTACCCTGGTGGTCCAGGGCGTCGACGGATGAATGAACGTCAGAATGACAGAAGAAACCGAGAAAGAGATTCAAGGGAAAGAAATGTTAGGAGAACTGATAGAGAAGAGAGTCAGGTTTGTTTTAGTGTGTGTTGATTTTACCATGTTCATTTTTCTGCTTGAACACTCCAAAACGCAGAGGCCTGAGTTTCAGAGGAAATGATCAGTTTGAAAAAAAACAGTAGTATTACCGCTATATTGTTTGTAATGTTCTTTTACAAATTTTCCTTTCTTTCTATTCTTGATAAAACAACTATTAGGTGACAAAACATTTACTTACAGGTAACAAAAGAAATGCTTCAGCTTCAGAATCAGTTGAACCAAGCTATCAAAAATCAAATAGCTATGCTTAGTACAGCACAAACTGGTGGAGGACATTTACGAGCAGAAAGTTTTCCTCTCCCTGGAGCCTCACATCGTGCATCTCTTTTGGGTCACGGTCCAAGGCATTTTGGGGCTGGGGCAGATGTTACAGGAATGGGTGCCACAAGAGGTATCGATAACCAGGTATGTTTTAGTCTTGTGTTCTTAATTAAACTAATGCCAGTTTTACTTGATTGTGTGCAATTTAATAAGTTTCTTTACACAGCATGATTTTGGAGGAGCAAGTTCCTGGTCAGGAGAAAGAGGTGGCAGAAATGAAAGAGATCGGGTTGAAAGGGAACGTGTTGAAAGACTTGGCAGAAGTGCTGACAGGATGGATCGCCCAAACAGACCTGAGAGAGGGAATGACAGAGGTAAACACATAGACATTGCAAACAGATTGGACGGTCGAACTGAAAGAGGCAGTCGTGACCGCAGTGATCGTAATGAAAGAACAAGTACAGGTGCAGAGCTGGCACGGCAGACACCAAGAACACAACGACAAGTGCAGGCTTTTGGTTCTAGTAGTGGTGCTGGTGATGCCGTTAGAAGCAAAGATAGATCAGCTATGAACACATCACACAGCTCAGATTCTGTTCGAGGAAGCAGTAGAGGACGGAGAGGACCAGAGTATTCTGGAACTACCAGGTTAGGATGTTTAAGATTGATTTTTAAACAGTTTTCATCAATTGAATATTTTGGACAAAAATTTTTACTGCTACTTTTTTCACAGATCAACACAAAGAAATGACGGTGCATATAATTCAGGATCTCATGCACAATCCACTGGATCAAACAGGTATGGTGATTATACTGGCCAGGTTGAAGGTGATGGTAGTTCTTATTATCGCCGCTACTGAAATGTTTGAGTTTTGATTCACAAGTTTTTATCTCCAGAAAATAGGTGTGTTCTTAATGATTTTAAATTAAAAATTATTGTAATATTTGACACTAGTTTTTGAGGTCAAGATTTCAGTTATGAAACAAATTATTAACCATTTCATGTAATTCTTTTAAAGATGTAGCAATTCATTTAGTCAATTTAGTTAGGCTTTTATATTCTGTTAAATGTTAATAAAAATGTTGTAATAATATGTTCTTTGAAATTGTTTTTAAGAAAATAAACAATATTTCTTTAATCACTTGTTTTTATTTTACATATATGTATACATTAGATACAAGTTAGGCTGGTGACTATTATAAATAGTCCCCTGACTATAAATTTATTATAAAAATTTAATACTAGGCAACAGATAATAAACAATAGAAAGTTAAATAAGCTAAAATGCTCTGCATGTAATGTCACATTCAAAATTTGGGATGGTTGACATCTTACAAAAAGCTTAAAAGCACAGGCTTTGTCGATATAAGATATTAACAAACATAAAAATGTCTTGTTCCTCTTGTAAACATTTCAAAAAAAAATTATTTTAAAATTATTTTCATAGTATATCGATTGTCACATTCCCAAAAGATTGACCCATAGAAAAGGTCCATGATTCATCTAAATAGTTATATAATTAAATTGAAAATTGTTCAAAATTACAAATGTTCATTTGGTGGTAGATAATTTTTAAATAATAATAATAATAATTACAGCATCAAAAAGGAACTGCTGTGTTGAAACAAAAAGTGAAAATATTTTTAAAGCACTCTAGGCCTACAAATAAACAGCTCTTCACAATATATCAAACTTCACATACTTGATATTCTGAAACTGTCTAACTTAGACTGATTAGTGGATCAAATTTCTCCCAAAGTCTTTGAAATTCTTGACTAAATAGTGATGTTACAACACTGTCATCAGTAATAATGAGATTCTCATGATTACCAGTAATTGCAGCATAAGTCCAATTAAATGAGCCGTTAATTAATATTTTCTCATCTACAATTACAAACTTGTGATGCATCAAATAAGTGGATTGATTCATTCTCACTGGAATACCTGTAAAATTTAAAATGCATTGTTGAGGTGTTAGATAAAATTTACACAAAGCTATTCCACCATAAAATTGTAACTTGAGCATAACTCACACTATCTCTACTAAAGTAAACTAATACAACAATTGTTGCTTAGTTTGCACACTGAAATAATTTACCCCCCTCAGTGAGCATGGTGGATTCCATTGTAAAGTATTCAAATACTCGAGCCTCACATCACTATCATAATAAAATCAAACATTATAAAAAAAATGATTTTTTTTTTTGGATAAATCTATGTATGCATATAATCAATATGACACTGGTTTTTCTGTACTGTTGGTTTGAACTAGCCCTTTTTTTTGGTCACCTTCTATAGACTCACTCATGAGCATACCTGCTCAAGCAATGTATAAGTCAAGCACACAGCAGGATGAAGAATGTACCATTTCTCTCGCGCATGTTTTCAGCAGTAGTTAGACCTATGGGTTTGTGCTAAACTGTTACTAGTATTACCAGCATTGCACCAAGCATCTGGTTGTGGCAATATACAGTCTTCTGTTCAGGTAGCAAACTCATGACTTGCATTGCACTCTAGCACCAGGGACCATCTCTATAGCTATATAGTGCTTGCTCAGACTTGCTGGCAAAATAGTACTACTATCTAAAAATATAATGCTGAATATAATTTGTCATGTAGTCAATAAAAATGAAAAAAAAAAAACCAACAAATATATAAAACCTTTATAGCTAATATATGTAAAAAGATCCCATAAACTACCAGCTTCTATGAAAGAAAGAAGATTAGTTTTGTTTTCTTATTTTCAGTGCATTTAAAAGCTTGTCGCTATTAAGGTTTTTTAATTTGTTTAATTTTCACCTTTTAGTGATTCCTTATTAAGTAATTTTTGAAGTCGACACAACTAAAATTATTTGCTTTAAAACAACATCACAGCTCACGATATCTAAAAGACAATTATCTGGTGCCTGAGAAGCAGCCGTCTGCGACCATATTTTATACAGATAACAAGTTCTTAATTTATTTTTACCTCCCCTTAGTTTCAAATTTAAAAAAAAACTATTATCTGCCCCTAGTAGCCTAGATCGACCAGCTCTATGATTGTTAATTAACATTCTTGTGAACCACAGCTCACCAGACTGTTCCAATGATCACATCTTACTAGTTATCCCCCCTTCTGTTATTGAATTTAGTAATCCATCAAGTGATTTTTGTTCTCTCCCCTTAGTGTCGAAACCATTTTAATGACTAATTAAACATGTAAATTAAATTAAAAAATAGATATACATGTATTGTCATTAAAGTGGACTGTATCTAGAAAGTTTGAACAAAATTGCTGTATAAGAAATGTCTAAATTGAGCTTCAAGATTTCCATAAACCAACAAACGTTGCGAACTAAATAAAAGCCAAAGCGTGTATAATAATACCTTCTTTGCGCAGTGTCCAAATTTGGGATCCTGTAGCATTAAGCTGATCTTGATCTGTAATTATTCTGAGCTTAACACCTCGTTTGAAAAGCAGGAGCAATGTTTCTGCTAACTCTTTGCATGTGAAAACATAAATGCAGACATCCATGCTATTTTTACATCTTGCCATACTTTGACATAATTCACTCAAAGATGTTTTATCATGAGAAAATCGACAATTGTCTTTGAAACACCCATTACCACTTATGAAAAATTCTCTGCAAGCAACTTGTTTATCAGGAAAAAATAATACTTGTAAAGAAGAACTGCTCAGTCTGTTTCGTTTACTTTCACTTTCGTTTTTGCTGGTGCGTTTCTTGGATTTTCTTTTTAGATATAATTGATAAATCACTTCTGTAGCCAAAATGAAAAGAAAAGTATAAAGAGAGCCTTTGACCGTTGCATTCATAATTATAATATAGATTTAGATCTACTTATACAGTAAAAATATAGGACTAGAAAATCAACACTTAAGACATTAGTAATGACAAATGATAAAGGAACCAGTTTTTAAAAATAAAGAAAAGGAACGGCTACTCTAAATTGTGAAATGAGTAGCAATGATGTTTTTGTTTCCGGTTGACGTTGCAGCGTAAACAAAATAAAATGACCAGTACAAATGTAAGAAACTAGATTTTCTAAATCTAGATCAAGATCTAGAATCTAGAGTCTAGATCTAGAATTTAGGTCTAGCTTCTAGATCTAGCTGCCTTTACTTTTACCAATTTGAGTCCGGTACCCATCAGATCTAGAATCTAGATCTAGAATCTAGATCTAGATTTTCTAGATTCTAGTTTCTAAGAAACTCTGTACTCAGGGACGTTCTGCAGTCCCAAATGACGCCAAATGTGGATCGAGATCTGTCCGGGATTCAAGCGGTCGATTCTAAACTGTAAAATTATATTATACGAGCCGGCCCGCGGCATAACTACGCCGCTATTTAGTTGTTTCTAATTTTCAATAATTCATAATTTGTGAATTCGACAGTACCAGGGTGTGGGGAAATTGCGAGACGCGAAAAGCGAAATGGCGAGGCGGGAAAATGCGAGAAGGGCGCGAAAACGGTCGGTCACGTGACTTTTTTGTCTCGCATTTTACCACAACCCGATACTTACGCTGGGTGGTGTTGAAATGCGAAGATTTCTGCGAAAAATTTACCGCACCCGATTTTCAGTGGTATTTGGTCCAGACTTCAAAGACGTTTCGTTTACATTGTTAAAACTTCCGATTTTTCCGTCGCTAGACATACTGATGATTTGTCAACTCCCCCCCCCCCCCCCCATCTTTTGTGTCGACTTAGAATACCACCTTGTTCGAAACCGACGGAAATACCGCCGACGATAGATCAACTTCTTTCTTTTGTGTGGAACGCCGAAGCCGCCGAAACCGTCTTTGAAGATCGCCGTGCCGCCGCAAACATATTTTGTATTGTTGCATAGAAATGTGTGACGTCACACTATAAAAAAGCAATGTTAGAAAAAGAATTTTAGACGTTTTTCGTGTTTTAGAAAACTGTTTTCATAAATTGTAATAGGAATTGATTAAAATACATAAATTAGACAAGATTTTGGGAAAATATCGATGTTTAAAAAAAAATTCAACTGCAATTTTGAGGGGGGGTTGTAGACTGAGGTGTGACGTAATTTTAGTGGGAGGGGGGGGGGGGGGTCTGGATTTTTGTGAAAATGTGTGACGGAGGGGAGGGGGGTAAAAATCGTCATTTATGGATGACCCCTTTTAGCTATTAAATGGTAGTTTCGTCCATAGCGGTCTTTATTCAGATTATCTACAGACGCACATTTTTTTCCATTATGTTCATATTCGTGTTCTGTGTTAGCACAGTATAAATGGGAGTCTAAGGAACTGGGTTGGATGTACTATGTGTGAAAGATGGTGTGACGAGGTGTGTTTGATTAATGCTAGGACTGTTTCAGAAGATTTTGTTTGTAAATTTTGTTTGTAATTAAAAATACTTAATAAAAAATAAATTAATTAATAAATTACACTTTTAAGAATTGTTTATACTTTTACACTTTTTGCAAGTACAACAATCCATGAATACATGTTGCAGAATATCTCTCCTGCTGACAAAATTATACCAATTCACAATGACACAGCTCACGTTTGTATAAACATGAGCGGGCTAGATTTTTAAAATTAATGCCGACTGAAACGGGATTTTCCTCTCGCTAACGAGAGCGGGCGATGACAGTAGCACAGCAACGATGTTAGGATTTTTTAATAGATCTAGATTAGATCTAGTTATAGATCTATCTATCTTCTTAGTATCTATATATATATATATATATATAATAAAATCTAGATAAAAAATAACAACATACAACACTCGTGTTAAAGGGTATGGCTACATGCTAGTTTATTTTAAAACAAAAAAAAATAATTTAAATAAATAAAGATGAAATAAGCATAAAAAAAAAACTTTTTTTCGCAAAAAGCGTCTCGCTATTTACCCTTGATTCCGCAGGTATGTCTCGCATGATCTTCTCGCATTTTCCCGCCTCGCCATTTCGCTTTTCGCGTCTCGCAATTTCCCCACACCCACAGTACCAACGCTGACACTGAAAATATTTCTTTAAAACACTATAAGTAGCTCGTTAAGGACCATAACCCCCCCCCCCCTTCCTCCCCCCCCCTTCCTCCCCCCCCCCCCCCCTACGTTTAAAATCGTTGGCTCTGCTTGTAAACATTTAGAGTGAACACAGCTCACTAAAACCATGTAGGGGTGGGGAGGTAGGGAGAGCGTTTGCAGCTTGTTTTCTAACGGCTCGAAGAGGAGAATTATATATATAGATCATCCGAAATAGATATCGATCTAGATCTAGGTTATTATAGATCTAGATCTAGGTTCTAAAGGGAAAAAACTTGTACTAAAATTCTTGGCAAAGTGTAACAAAAAAATCCCAAATCAAACAACTGTATGAGTGTGGCTAATGGCTGATTCATTTGTTATTTTCTTTTCTTGACTTTCATCTTTAAAATGTTTTTGGTTTGCATTAAGCCACAGTTCCTGATTGGTAATGATGTTCTTCTGAAGCATATATTTATTACAATATATGTGTATTTAAAAAATTATACTGTCTATACTGTGGTGTTCCAGGTCTCTGCCTCATTCAGTAAATCTGGTTTTAACTTTGTATTAAAGATCCTTAATTTATAATTAAATTAAACCTACTCTGGTAAATTGCTGGAGCTCACCCATTTTTGTTTGTTACTCTATGGACATAAGATCTTAAATTATTAGATCTTATTAAATCCTAAATAGTTATTTACACTGTTTTTTCTCTTGCTTTTGTTGTCGTTTGAAAAAAAAGGCTCAATCATCAGTAAAAAAAAGGTCAAGTTGATACCATAGTGCCCACTGTATCCTATTTAGCTTTTTTGTCAAAATCTCCTAATCTTCTCAACAGACATTAAAAGCAAGAATGGAGATAGATCTTGTCTCATTTAGTTCTTTGTGCCATGCCATGCACTGCTCTATTCTATATTTTTAAAATATGTTGAATTAGCCTATGCCTAATAATATACATTTTGCTACAGGCTTTAATGGAGGAATCAGATGTTACTTTAAATTTTGGGGAGGAAGATGACATTGAGAACAAAAACAAAAGATTGAAGTGAGTTTTCTGTTTTTTTCATCTTATTGTTTAATGGATTATTGTTAATTTAGTTACTAAGTATTTTTGTTCATGTTCACGTAAAATAAATATCGGAATGATTTGTTTTGTGTAACTTGTTATTATTTTTAATATTATAAATGCATTGCTGTAAACTTATTGCTTGAAATTTGGTTATGAAATTAAGTCCTAACCACAATAATTGTTAAACGCCTTCTCAAAATTAATGTATAAATTATGGATTCATATATAAGTGTTTAATATTTAGCTAACAGCTTTACTGAAATAAACATGGTAATTTTTATTTTCCAGACACCCTGTTGCTGTTTTCTTTCACCTCTTCTTCCGCGCATCTGCCTTGGTTGCTTATCTTTTATGTGGTTTGTTCAGTTCCAGTTTCATTACAAATTTTGTGGTCATAATTCTCTTACTTTGTATGGACTTCTGGACGGTAAAAAACGTGACAGGTTGGTTTTCTAAACAACTTTCCATTTTTAATGTGTTCTTTTTAATGACTCAAACACTTTAATCTTATAGTATATAGAACATATTTATTAAACTTTTATCAACAAGAGGGTAATATAAAATAATTTTTTAACATATTATTATGTATTCTAACTGCATTTAACCTTCATGTCACTTCCAATAAGTTTTGTTTATTATATGTATTTACCATTAACCAGGATGCAAATTCTTTAATATTAGTTTCTTTATTACTATATTTTTTAAATCTCTAACTACTTTCACAGGTAGATTATTAGTGGGCTTGAGATGGTGGAATTATGTGGATGAGAAAGGTGAAAGCCGTTGGGTTTATGAATCAAGAAAGGTACATTTAGTTTAGTGTTATTTGTGAGAAAAATATTAGGAATTTAATTTGATGGTTACTTATTTAAAAAACATAATAAATAAGTTTTGTGTTGTTTTTCTGTCATTTTTAAAAATGAATTTTAAACTCTAGAGTATTTGCTATTGTTACTGTTATATCAAAATGCCTTTGGCTCACTATTACACTATAATTTTTAGTCCCTTTACTAAAATAAAAGCGTAAAATTCTATATATTGTAAATCACAAGATGATTTTTCAAAACTTATATATATATATATATATATATATATATATATATATATATATATATATATATATATATATATATATATATATATATATATATATATATATATATATATATATATATATATTAAGTAACATTTTTTAAAACAAAATTTCTACCTTTGCAAAGATGATCTCCTATCAGAATATTTATTATATTTTTTATTACAGGGCTCAGGTTCTATCAAAATTTCAGCAGCTGAGTCAAGAATATTTTGGTTGTCCCTTGTAATATGTCAACTATTATGGGTTATATTTTTCTTTGCTGCTATATTTCAATTAAGCTTCAAGTGGTTTGTAAGTATTCAGATTTTATTTGATAATTTGTAACATGACGTTTTTATACTTATTTGACTGGTTTATTTTAACCATTTTATATAACAATAATTAAAAAAAATAGAAATGGTTTTTGAATTTATTTTTACGTAATAATTTGTTTTCACTATTTGTTTACTTTAAGCTTTATAATACCCTAATTACCATTTGAAGTCATATATTTATTGCCAATGCTATATTTAAATATCTCAATTATGCTTTTCTAAATCACAGATGGTGGTGGTTGTTGGATTTCTAATGAATGGAGCCAATTTGTATGGCTATGTAAAGTGTAGAGTTGGTGCAAAGAAGAATTTGACATCAGTAGCATCTAGTTTCTTATCAACGCAATTGTTCAAATCTGTAAGTTCTAACAGAGAAAATTTGTTTCCTTATTTTAGTCAAATCTTTCCAAGAATGAAAATGATATTTTTTTTCACCTATTCGATTTGCTTTTCAGATGTTATCTTCAGCCACAGCAAAAGCAACAGATGAAGGTTCAACCAAAACTCCGAATTAAAGCCTGCTTAGAAAAAACAAAACAAGAACCCTAACTTTGCCTGCTCAGAAACAAACAGGAACATTAATTCAGTTTTGTGTGTATTCCTGATGGGTAACTAGAACAATTTTCTGATATCTGTGTCAGAGAAATCCTTTTTACAATTACTGACTGCTATGTTCTTGTCAATGGAATTCAGCAAAGGTGACTCATTTTTGATATTGCAGAGAAATCAAGTTTTACAAGCAATGTATTTTGTTTCATTTGTGTATTTGAATCATAACTTAAGTCTTGGTCATTACTAAATGTTCTGTATGTATATATATATATTATATTTTCAACACTTTGTTTACTGAATAATATTTAAATAGTTATTTATAAAGGCAATTTTTAAAATTTTTTCAAGCTCTGCATGACTTAAACATTGTTTATTTGAACAAGTTTTCACCAACAAGCAACATAGGCTTTGTAGGAAATAATAGAAAACCTTTCCAAAAATAAATCAAATAGCTAATTTTTTGTGTCTGATGTAACTAGATAAAAAGTTTATTATGTCAACAAACATCAACATGATTGTTCTAATTTGTCTTTAACAAAAGAATTTTTTTTTTACCTTCTCATAATATATAATTTTTAAAGAAAAAAATCTTTTTGTAAATAGGCAAAACCATTTTTTAAAGTAATTTACAGCACAGAATGTGATGCTAAAATTTTTTCTTATGGTCTTGGGTTTGGGTTACGACAAAAATGTATTAGTTAAAGGTTCTAGTAAAGAGGTGCTCTTATTAAATATTCCTGGTTTTGCACAAGTGTGATATATTCTTTACTCAACAATTTGCATGCATTCTAAAAAAAAAAAAAATTAAAAAATCCCATTGTACAAAAAAATTTTTTTTGTTTGATTACATTCCATTAGTATTTAAATATTTGTTTTAATTGAAATTTCTTTTTTTACTGTCACTAATCATGGTCAAACTTTATGATGAAGCTGATAAGGGTTCATCTATTTAGGGTTATTACTTTCTTTGGTATAAATTTTGTTTAATAATTAAAATATTTATGAATGTAAGGATTATATAATCAATAAGGAACAGCACAATTGTGTGACAGAGTGTACACATTTTCAAATTGGAACTTCCCAAGTTAATTTGCAGGCTAGATTCCAAAGAATTTTCCCAAGTTTATGTCTCACCTGACCATCAGGAGAGAAAGGAAACTTAATTTTTATTAATCAGACTATAACATGTATGCATCAGACTATAATGTATGTGACTTAAAAACAATTGCACATTAAAAATGTTTAAAACAGTAAAGATGAAAAAATTCAAGAACTGTCTCCCCTTATTTGGTCCCGTAGTTTAATTTTAAAAGTTTGTCGATTAGTTTTGTTTTAACTACTGGACCAAACTTCTGTTTTAATAAAGATTCATTGAAAATTATTAACTACAGGTTTATTTTGAAGTTGAATAGTTGGTGATTGAGGTGCAGATAAAAAATAAATTTTGCTGATAAATTTTTTCTTTCTTTCTAAACATACACAAAAATGATTTGAACAAATAATTTTTAACAGTGAAATCTTAACGAGAAAATAAATTTGAATTAATGAAGTTGAGGTTGCTCTTTAGAACTCTCTTGCTATTAAGATGTTTTCAGTAATGGAAAAATCATTTATGCTTAATGTTTAAGCCTGTGAATGCTTGATAATGATGTTGAATTTTAAATACATCTTTCTATTTCAATTTTTTTATTGTGCTTAAGTTAACTGAGTATAACTGCCATTTATATAAATAAAATTATGAATGTTTACTGTGATGCAGTAGGTTCTGTAAATAAATAATGGGTTTTAAAAAAACAACTGACTTAAATTATTTTTAGAACAAATTTTAATACATCGCATGTCTTAGATTACTCTTATAAAATTTGAAGAATGCATAATATAATAATGCTCATTACCATGAAACCCCAAATACCACATGTAGACTGTTATAGTATTGTATGGGTGCCCGACCAAACCAGTCAAACACTGCATCTGTATAGTGGTAAAGACTTAATACTTTGTTTTTTAGCAGTGGAGTTAATTCTAATAAGCATTTTCATAATAGTTTTTGGGTTTGTTGTTGATTTCCAGCATAAACAGATAAGTTGTAGAGATTCCACTTCAAACCTTCAATCTATCACTGTTTGCTAACCGTTTTGTATTTATAGTTTGAAATTTATTTAAGTGTAATAGATAAAATAATTTAAAAAAAAAAAGATTTCGTTAGCAATCATATATAAATATATGAGTACCATGGGGAAATCTATATTTGAATTCATGCATTTTAAACAGACTGTTAACCCCCCCCCCCCCCCCCCCCCACAATTCAAACAAATTAATGTTGCTCATTATATTTATTTTTAAGGAATACAAAAAGTATACTACGTCAATCTCTCATAGCACATCTTCAAAAATGTCCGAACTGTCCTAGACATCATAAACAGACACCCAGGTTGGTTGTACATTAAATAATTTCATACAACTATATCTCTATTGTGTCCGGGACTTTTTTCTTGGGGATAAAAGGTTTATAATTTTCTCGTGGATCTTGCACTTTCTTTATCTCTGTCCTTTGAAGCCACACCTTGTAAAACCTCAGAAAGTAAGTCAGGCTTCGTTGGTAATCTTCAGAAAGGACGTAACTGGAAGTATCTTTGTTCCTTTCCTAAAATAAAATTAACAGATAATTCTCATGTATTCAGGGCAGTTATGATAGTTCTCTATTTTTTATTGGATAAATATGTGTTTAAGTAAGTAAAAGTTTCCTTTTCAAACCTGACGGTCTATGGGGCAAGTGAAGTACAGTTCACTTGTTTCTGTGACCTGCACATGAAGAGATAGTGTGGTCAGTACTATGCCCAGCCGCCTTTACTTTCCCTAACGTGAGTTAGGTACCCATCAGAGTTGGGTGGACTCAGGGACGGTCTACTGACTTGAACCCGGATTCGAACTCGAGACTTACGGGTTAGCAGTCCAGCTCTCTACCGCTAGACTACTTTGTCCCTCAGTAGTAAAAGAATAACTAGAATAACGGTGGCAGTGTTAGGCTAGTTTAGTATACTTCGTCCCATACAAATATGTGTTAGAAATTATATAATTTTGTTTAAAACTTCTAAAAAAATTAATACTCACAGCTTCTATGATTTTAGCCTTTGCTGCAGCAATATTTTTTTCAATCTTCTCTATAGTTTTTCCTGTTGGCTTGAGACCATAAGAATCAAACAGTTTCAGCATTTTTAGTTTGTAGGTAAAACTGCCACCACTAGCAGTAACAAGATGGCCAATTATTTCAGAGTTGGGTTCTAAATTAGCAGCCTGAGGAAAATAGACATGACATCACTTATTTTATTTCTCCCACACTAAGACTACATCATACAAGGGATGGCTAACTCCAAACCCTGGAGTTTACTTTATACTTCAAGGGGTCATCCATTTATGACGTCCACAGCGGGTGGTTCCCGAAAAAAATTGACTTTTGCAGACACTTATGGACTTTTATAAGAGAAATAAGTGGATTTTTGGGGGTAGGGGGTGTCCCAAAATCCAAAAAAATTGTGGATGTCATAAATGGATGACCCCTAAGGACAGGAAGTCAGCCAGCCTGGTGGGGGTGTGTATTAGGCTATGCGAGGGACATGATAGTCATGCTTCATTTTTAGTAAAGCTGACAAATCAGTTGGTTTACATGTCTATCTTGGTGCTTAGTGACAAAGTAAGTCAGTGCTGAGTGGTTGCCTTGGATACTGTATGGCTATAAGGCCCCCTGTTCTGTCTTTAAAGTGATTATTTATTTAAGTCTTGTGTTGTTCAGGCATTTAAGTAACACTGTATGTCTTATAGCGCTACTACTGACAAAATGCCTGCATCAAAATGTACCCTGGCTCAAGCTAGGGAATGTAAACAAAGCCAGGGGCATAGTACTGACCACATAACACCAGGGACGGAGTGGTCTAGCGGTAGAGAGCTGGGCTGCTAACCCGTTAATCTCGAGTTCGAATCCGGGTTCAAGTCAGTAGACCGTCCCTGAGTCCACCCAACTCTGATGGGTACCTAACTCACGTTAGGGAAAGTAAAGGCGGCTGGGCATAGTGCTGACCACACTATCTCTTCATATGCCGAGGTCACAGAAACAAGTGAACTCTACTTCACTTGCCCCATAGACCGTCAGGTTTGAAAGGGAAACTTTACTTTTTTTTTTACATAACACCATATGCTGAGTTTAAAGAAACAATTGAACTCTATTTCAACTGCTTCAAGTGATTAGGTTAAGCACTTTTTACATTCTTTCTAAACTTCTGTCATCAAGGAGATGTCCCAGACAAAACAGGGATTATCAAGTGCAAGTCTAGGATAGAAACAGGGAATACAGACTATTATAAAGGGCATGTCCAGGATAGAAACAGGGAATACAGACTATTATAAAGGGCATGTCCAGGATAGAAACAGGGAATACAGACTATTATAAAGGGCATGTCCAGGATAGAAACAGGGAATACAGACTATTATAAACAGGGATGTCCAGGATAGAAACAGGGAATACAGACTATTATAAAGGGCATGTCCAGGATAGAAACAGGGATTACAGACTATTATAAAGGGCATGTCCAGGATAGAAACAGAGATTACAGACTATTATAAAGGACATGTCCAGGATAGAAACAGGGAATACAGACTATTATAAAGGGCATGTCCAGGATAGAAACAGGGAATACAGACTATTATCAAGGGCATGTCCAGGATAGAAACAGGGATTACAGACTATTATAAAGGGCATGTCCAGGATAGAAACAGAGATTACAGACTATTATAAAGGACATGTCCAGGATAGAAACAGGGAATACAGACTATTATAAAGGGCATGTCCAGGATAGAAACAGGGAATACAGACTATTATAAACAGGGATGTCCAGGATAGAAACAGGGAATACAGACTATTATAAAGGGCATGTCCAGGATAGAAACAGGGAATACAGACTATTATAAAGGGCATGTCCAGGATAGAAACAGAGATTACAGACTATTATAAAGGGCATGTCCAGGATAGAAACAGGGAATACAGACTATTATAAAGGGCATGTCCAGGATAGAAACAGGGAATACAGACTATTATCAAGTGCATGTCCAGCTGACCTTACTTATCTATCTCATCAATAGTTCCCTGAAATAAGCATTACATTTTCCCCCTATGATATACACACAGACTATTTTTAGAATTTACAATAATGTGGATATAGTTACCGCCATGTCATCAAGCAGGCTCATTGCGTGTTCCGCTTTAGTACAAGCTAAAGCAAGTGCTGCATATGTCCTCATGTTAGGGATCAATTTAAGACTGCCAACAAGGGAGAGAACTTCCTGTTTTTTTTAATATCAAATTACAGTTGTGAACAAGTATGCAAAAAAGATTAATCAGATGAATGGTAATGTTTTTTTTTCAGGTTTTCAAACAGAGTGTTTTGTTTTTTATAATTTTTATTATTAAAATTCACTATTTATATTTAAATTTAATAAAACAAGCTCTAATTGCTTTAGAAGTCTGTTAAAAACACATATTGATTTAATTCTGAAAATGTTTTTTAGTAACAATTTAAACTTTATTATTTTCATAAATTTCCTGTTTACTGCATTAAAATTTACAATACTAATTTGTTTATTGATTGAGATCCTACCTTAACTGTTGAGAACTCCCCTCTTTTACAGCATCTATTCATGATGTCATTCATTAAATCAATGTCTGGTTTAACTCCCCTTTCTTTCATGTATTCAAGCATTTCTAACTCACTTTTGTGATCCTGAGGCAGGCAAGCCAAAATCTGAGAGAAAGTTTTTACCTCCGGCTCAATACTTAAATCTTTTAGAAGAGAAAATATTCTCTTCATTCCACCTAGAAGGGCAAGTCGACCTGAAGGAGTTTTGAGAAGTGCTAGCGGTACAGTCTGTGGCTGAGAAGGCAAGGTTTCAACTGGTAGCAAATCTGAATTTAAAGTACTGCTCTGTGGTTTGTTTTCCTGATTAACCGATGTAGCAGCGTTTGTCTGAGAATCATTCAGCTCCACAATTTGATCTCTTTGTACAAGTGTCTCTGTCGTCATATCATTACTTTTAAGGTCATCATGCTTTATTTGTTGTTTGGAATCTACATCTTTATCCTTCGATTTCATCACATCAGGAGATTTTTTTCCATCTTTAAGTAATTTTGTTTTTCTCTGAATACGTAAAGGTGAGCTTGTGGAACTAGGCAAGGATTTAAGCAGTTCAGCATCAGAAGAGATTCCTAAAGGTGTTTCACCTAATCCTAAGGATTTAGCAAATGTAGCTGGATCTCCTATGCCACAGTCTCTAACACATCTAGTGAAAAGGTTGATGGTATGTATATCAGGTTTTAATCGATATTCAGACATCTTGCCCCATACCTGAATAATAATCAAAAGTAAACAAAGGTTATCTTTTTAATGAAGAAAATCTTAAATTAAAAAAAACCCACTGAGATGAGATATCCAAAAAGGGGATTTAAGAAATTTAATTTGAAAAAATAATTCCTTTAAAAGAAAAGAATAAATTTTGTCCCCTCAGTATTATCTTGTTCTAACTACAAATTTTGATTTTTTAGGTCAATCAGACCCCGTGAAACTTCAAATGCATTTTTCTCAAAACTACATTTTGGGAGATAGAACAAGATAATACTAGGGGGACGTAATATTAGTTAAAATTAGTATTAACCATATGAAGTTGATTTTAATGTATTAGTTCGCAAATTTTTCAATGATACATTGCTCTTTAACTCAACTGAGTAAATATTTAACAGCAAATTAAAATAGGTATAGAAAATAGCTTACCTGAAGTGCTCTCAAAAACCCCTTTTCTTTATCAGAAACACAAGCAATGAGTAGATGGTTGAAACACTCTGTATCAAGTCTAAGTCTCTTAGCTGCATCATCCATAATTAAAAAGGCTTTTGGGAAATCCCCACAAATAGCTACAGCTTTCATGGCTGCCTTGACCGTGTACAAGTTAGGTTGGATGTCTCTGTCCTGCAAATAAAAGAGGAGATCCTCGGCTCTCCTCAGGCCATCAGACTGGGAAGGAGAATTAGCACAGGCATTAAAGAGGCCGGTGTAAATGTGATCCACAGGGTCTAGACCTAAATTCTGCATCTGTTTGGGAAAATAATTTTCTTTATTAGATATTAATAGTTGTGGGAAAAGTAATCCAGATAATTATAAAGTTTCTTTGACAAAAATGAACTTAAAAAGTAAGGAAGAAAACAATAATGAAACAACAGATTTGATAAGAAAGTATTATCAGTAAACCTGCATAATTGTTATCATTTAAAAAAAAAAAACTGCCTTTTCAGTAATTGTTAATTTTATAGATAAATAGTTGGTAAACTACAATCTATGCACAATCTATATATTTCTAGTTGATGCTGGAAAACATTACATTGCTAATGAAGTTCCCACCACTTATTTCTTATTTGTATGATTATTAGAATATCTTATGCTGTCTTACCTGTGAAAACAGTTCAAAGGCTCGTTTAGTATATCCTGCTCTACCTAGAATACCAATTAATGTGATAAAAGTCCGTTTGCAGGGCATAACTCTGTCTCGTAACATCATCCAATCATCAAATATTTCAATGGCTTCTTTTATCTGCATAGAACAGTTTAATAATTCAATATAAATACTTTTAAAACTGAAAGTTTTTAAAGAAATTAAGTATAAAATATTTACCTTGCCATGACGTGCTAAAACAGACATCTTTCTTGTATAATAGAAGGCCCTCAATCCAATTCTCCCCTCTCTGCTTAAAGGAATGTCTAGTCTTCTGTCTCGAGGTTCATCAACATCTTCAGGAAATGCTTCATCCATTCTGTAAATTTGCAGAGACTTTAAAACTTATACATCAAAAATGAAATGTAATTGTTGATTTTATCATCTCTCAAGAGAATAACTAGATCCAACACTAGTTATCAAAAGATTTAGAAACAAAAACCAAATTCGATTTATTGTTGTTCAAATTAAATTTATAATCTAAACAATAAACAAAGAAGGTAGAGCATAACATGGTGTTAAACAATTATAAGATGTTTCAAAACTAAGAAATGATGACATGACTTAATTGCACAAACTCTGAACAATTAAGTGCATTAAAACATTTCTATAGCCTACTTACAAATGGAACTCTAAAACTTTCTTCTTATATAAAAACAAGTCATACAAATGAGATTGTAGGGTGTGAAGAAAGATCAACAATATCCTCACCTTTCATTAGGATCCCTAAAATCTTTCTTGGAGGCAAAGGACTGCTGACTGTCTTTTAATTGAGAATTCCCAAATTTAGTTTGGTTGTATGGCTCTTCCATAGGAATTGGATTTTCCAACTGGTTTTGAGGACTGTCAACATTTGACTGATGCTTCAACCAAACTTTCTCAAAGTAAGCTGCAGGTTTATACTGTGCGTGTTTTTTCCCTATATCTTTAAATACTGGTATTTCATCATTAGTATTTGATGGGTGTGAGTCATGATCATTCTGCTTCTTTTTATCAAAAATAGGTCTTTCTTTTGAGTTTGTTTTAGCTTTTGATGATTTATCAATTTTTATTTTTTGGCTTTCATCATGTTGAGAAGAGAGGTAATCACTAGGTGTATAGGCTGATCTTCTCAGAACAATTGAAGGTAGAGACTGCCTTTCACACAATATATGTCTAGTGATTATTGATCTCAAAGCAGTAGGGCACATTTTGGCAAGCTGAATTGACTTACAGCATTGCATTTTTCTGCAGGCTTCAACAGGCACTTAACACTTCACTTGAATAACCTTTTTTGTTTGTAATTTCTATCACTTCTGTAAATATTCTGTGAAGATATAAATCACATTGTAATCCACAATCAAAATCAATCAGGCCTTATTCAATAATTACTATTAAGTGTAGACTATGCAAACTGCACTCTGATGGCATACCATGAATAATTGATTGTAGGAAAAAAGTCACAGAAAAAAAACACAGGAAAAAAAAATCACAGAAAAAAGTCACAGGAAAAAAGGTCACAGGAAAAAAGTCACAAATATATATTTGCATTTAATTTGTTAACACTTTTATGTATTAAATATTCAGAGAGTGCAAATTAACTTAGGATTAATTAAATATATTGTAATGTGTGTAGGTTGTATATACATAGTAATTTTTATAATTCATCTAAAAATATTTAGTATGAAGTATGTAGATTGTAATTATGTTAAACATAATAATCTTGCGCTGTAAGTTTACTATAAAAAAAAAATAAACAAGATGGCTGCTATAGTATGAGCATGGTTGCATCTGTTGGAAACATCGCTAGTCTTCATTTATTACTGAAAAGTTTTAATTCAATTGTTTAAAGGCCGATGCTAGCCAGAATAAGATACGCATGCGCAATGGAGAGAAACTACGACTTGCCTTTGCGGCAATGTTTTCGATGGTACTGCGCATGCGTGTGTTTACAACCGCAGAACCCTAACACCAACCCTAATCCTATCCCTACCCCTAACCCTCATTCTAGCCCTAACCCTTGCCATAGGTCATTGCGCATGCGCAGAGCTATCTTTTGCCGATTAAGTGGAGACGTTGGGGAGAAAAATCTTCGGATGATATTTCGAGTAGTCACTTCGTTGTTTAAAACCTGGTAGCCTGGTAGGCCTACATAAATGAAACATTTTTGTACTTCTCAAAACTTAAATTCTTCTCAAAATGTGAAAAAATTATTAAAATTTTAGGAGTCACCTGTTTTCACATAACTAGTCGCGGGCGATTTTACGTACCTAAATCGATAGATTACCGATTTTATTAGTAAGTTAGGTCTAGAGCCTAACTACTACACTAGTACTAGGCACTAACTAGGGCAGGTAGAATCTAGATTCTAGTTACAGTAGTTCTAGGAATTTTTTAGTTTAGAGTTTACAAATACAATAACAAATTGCCTTAGATTATCTCTGAGTCACTTTTCAAAATTACTAGATCTATTACTATCAATACGGTACAGTAATATTATACAATTAAAAATCATTAATAAATTAATCTGAATGATGACACTGACGGTGACAAAGTTGAAGAAACGACATGTGTAAAAACGAAAGTAGAAAATTGGTGTTTACTAACTACCGAAATAGTTGGAAAAAATTCGTTCGCGAAGGAGATTCAATATGGAGCACTCTATGCCTATATATTTTTTAGAATGCCATTTAAAAATATGAAGGTTTATGTTTGACGCTTTGAGGACAGTTAACAGAGCTATTTCCAAAATGGTCTGCTTAAGATCTTAAGATTAAGTGAGTGGTCGTCCATAAATGACGAAGAGATGTCTGGAAGAAACTCTGTTTATAGTTAATAGTAATGACTAATTTTTATAGTAATGTTTATTTTGAATAATACAACATAATGCATTATTAAATGTGAATAAAGTTTTTTTTCACGCGCTGCTGGTCGTGTATTATACATGAGTAGCTATAGATAGTAAGCTTATATATATATATATATATATATATATATATATATATATATATATATATATATATATTATATATAAATATATATATATATATATATATATATATATATATATATATATATATATATATATATATATATATATATATATATATATATATATATATCACACGCAGTTTATTTATTTAAAAAAAAACGCATAATTAAAAAAAACCGCTTTAATAATTCGTTTATTACTTTAGCTACTGCAAGCTTCAGTGCGAGTTCTAGGACAGATTCAGTCACAACTGGGCCAGTCTACAGTTCCACCTCTGTAGTTTAGTAAAATGTCTTTAAGACTAACTCTGACAGAACGACTTATGGCCTTTAAAATAGTACATGCGTAATCATGCACATATAAGGTAAAAGATTAGGTGGAAGCAAAACATTACGTCTGTACACACTGCACATGATTATCAATGTACACACCGTTGAAACAATACATCAAAGATAAGTAAAAAAAATACCAGCCACATAGATGGTTGATAAAGGAAAAGATATGAGTCCAATAATAAAGAAATCAGAAAGTTGAAATAACATTTCAGCAAATAGCTAAAGACTTTGTTTGAAACGTGACCGACTGAATATTATTTTGTTTATTCAAATCTTCTACTAACAACTATATTTGTTTACAGTAAAAGGAAGGAGAAGTACCCTTTTGGTCCTGATAGAAGATGTAGAGTTGGAATGAACTTTTTACACTTTGGTCTATGAGTGAGCCGTAGTGTTGAAACGACACAGAAAAAAAAAAGAAAAAAAAAAAAAAGAAACCAGCGGCTACGACTAACTTAATTTTATTAATATTACCACAAGTTTCTGGCCACTCACTGGGATTCTCTCCCCCCCCCCCCCCACGGGCTTTCTTCCCAGTGTCTCGGCAGCTCAGTTCAGCACTGCCTTCGACATTGAATGGAATATCCCCCCCCCCCTCACCCCACCCCACCACGGGGACACATACTGGTTAACGTGTACATTTTCTAAATAAACTAAATATGTTTTGTATCTAACCCGGTAGGTGTGTGTGCGCTTGGGGGGGGGGGGGGGGGGTGCAGAGGCGTAGCGACCCTTCCCGGCTCCCGGGGACAATCTTTCAATTTGGCGCCCCCTCGGGAGCAAATTTTCAATTTGCATCCCTCCCTCAAACTTTCGATTAGCGCCCCCCCCCCTCAAACTATATATAATGCAAAAATGCAGCTAATATGACATTTTAATTTGTTTTTACAACCCATTTTGGCGCCCCCTAAGGTCGGCGCCCGGGGACATATGTACCCCCCTGCCCCCCATCGCTACGCCTCTGGGGGTGTGTGAAAGGGGAGAATGGCAGTGTCCCTCTCGCCCGATGAAATGCCTGAAAGAAATACTACTAGCTACATCCAGACAGCTAGCGGTTCCCTAAAAACTATGATTTATTCATCGAATCACGACCCTCTCCCAGTTGTCACATTACTACATCCTCAGTCAACACGTTATGATCTCCGCCATAGCCACGTAAAATAATTTATTCAAGTCTGATCAACCAGTGCTGGTTTATTAAGTCCCTAACACAGTGTTGCTTAAAAGTGTGTTAGAAAATACTTTAAATTTATTTTCCATCCAGGTGTGTTAAGCGAGAGTGTAGATAGACTTACTTGTCTCCCATTTGTGACCCATTTTATCATTTAGAATTTAGGCTAACTACAGATAACCGATTGTCCTATCTCGATAACACATTATCCGCCCCTTGTATGAAACAATTTAAACGATTTAATATTTTTACTGCGTAGATTACTGATGTTTTAATAATTCATGTACTAAGTTCAGCTGGGAATTACGTTAAATATCGTCAAACAGAAATGCGTCAATTGTAAATCTAGCTTTTAAGCTAGTTAACCTCAGTGTTTCTTCCAGACTTTTTTCTCCGGGGGGAGGGGGGCACTTGATATTTTCGGGGGGTAGGGTAGGGCAGACACTGGTAAAAGTATGTTTTCCATATAAATTTCGTTTCGGGGTGGGGGGGGGGGTAGGCTTTTTTCGGGGGGCCAGAACCCCCCCCCCCCCCCCCCCCCCCCCCCGAAGATTGCCTGGAAGAAACTCTGGTTAACCTATTTCTGGATAACCTAGATTAGTAGATTTACGTTGGCGAATTTCTGATGTAAATGGTAAGTGAAATAAATCCTGACGCACATCACAGGTAACAGCCGCTGATTATCAGCCATTAGGATTTTATTCTTGTTAGAGCAGATGTTATCCGATATTTATCTACACACACCGCTGCTTTCCCCTATATGACAAAGTTCAAGGTCTTTTCTAAATAATGTGGCCTAACTTCTGCAAATATAATGCATCTTCTTCTTCTTCGTTCTTAATTTTAATGTTGGAAGGGATTCCCTACAACACTATTTCTTTTTGGATTTGCTTCCATAGCCTTTGTGCAACCAAGAACAAACTACAAGGCAGCAGTTGTTTGATTTTGGAGTTGTCAAAATTAACAATAAAATAATTCAATAAAGCAATAAATAAAAAAAAATAGCCTGGATCTGCTGTCACATAACGAAAAAAGTGAACAGCCCCTGAGATATTACAGTCAGAGAGATAGTACAGTCACAAAGATATTACAGTTACAGAGATATTACAGTTACAGAGATATTACAGTTACAGAGATATTACAGTTACAGAGATATCAGAGTTACTCAGATATTTCCACACTTTCGGCAATATTTATGTAGACGATATGTCGTAATTTAATTTCAAGCTAGAAACAAGTGGAATATAGTATACATTCCAATATCTTGTCGGTCAAAAGTTAGGTGTGAGGTGGGAATACCTTGTCAGTCAAATGTTAGGTGTGAGGTGGGAATATGTTGTCAGTCAAATGTTAGGTGTGAGGTGGAATATCTTGTCAGTCAAATGTTAGGTGTGAGGTGTGAATATATTGTCAGTCAAATGTTAGGTGTGAGGTGTGAATATATTGTCAGTCAAATGTTAGGTGTGAGATGGGAATATATTGTCAGTCAAATGTTAGGTGTGAGGTGTGAATATATTGTCAGTCAAATGTTAGGTGTGAGGTGGAATATCTTGTCAGTCAAATGTTAGGTGTGAGGTGGAATATCTTGTCAGTCAAATGTTAGGTGTGAGGTGTGAATATATTGTCAGTCAAATGTTAGGTGTGAGGTGTGAATATATTGTCAGTCAAATGTTAGGTGTGAGATGGGAATATATTGTCAGTCAAATGTTAGGTGTGAGATGGGAATATATTGTCAGTCAAATGTTAGGTGTGAGGTGGAATATCTTGTCAGTCAAATGTTAGGTGTGAGGTGGAATATCTTGTCAGTCAAATGTTAGGTGTGAGGTGTGAATATATTGTCAGTCAAATGTTAGGTGTGAGGTGTGAATATATTGTCAGTCAAATGTTAGGTGTGAGATGGGAATATATTGTCAGTCAAATGTTAGGTGTGAGATGGGAATATATTGTCAGTCAAATGTTAGGTGTGAGGTGGAATATCTTGTCAGTCAAATGTTAGGTGTGAGGTGGAATATCTTGTCAGTCAAATGTTAGGTGTGAGGTGTGAATATATTGTCAGTCAAATGTTAGGTGTGAGGTGTGAATATATTGTCAGTCAAATGTTAGGTGTGAGATGGGAATATATTGTCAGTCAAATGTTAGGTGTGAGGTGTGAATATATTGTCAGTCAAATGTTAAATAATATATATGGGGATATCTTGTCAGTCAAATATTAGGTGTGAGATGGGAATGCATTGTCAGTCAAATGTTATGTGTGAGGTGGAATATTTTGTCAGTGAAATGTCAGGTGCGAGGTGGGGATAGCTTGTCAGTCAAATGTGTGACAGTTGCCCTCAAGCAGGAAGCACTTGCAAGCACTTGACAGAACTCCCCAAACAGAAGTATCGTTATCACATTATTGCATTTGCTAAGATTATAAAATTCTTAAAAGTTTAGCTTCCGCCATTAAAAACACAAACAAAAACAGAAAAGATAAAAAAGATAAAAAAAAGGTTTATCTGAAATAAAGTCAATCTTTGCTGTTCCATTTATATTTTGAGGGATCGATGTTTTTTTTAAATGTCTAGCGCGGCGCCATTTTCAGTATCTTCCTGTAAAGGTAGTTCTTAATTAATCGTTCTGCACAGATCTCAAACGTGTTCCTCATTTCCCTTTATTTTATCTTATTCTTAAAGTTTTAAACCCCAAATATTTTTTTAGTATACTTTATTTGTATGCCAAAGTCTAGTTGTAGTAGTAACATTTGATAGTTATATTTATTTCAAAATCTGTCTTGCCTACAATAACTAACATGTACGTAATGCATACATGTAGACTAGTAATAGTCCATACATCTGCATATAATATAGATCATTTTGTAAATTTTAATCTGTAAACATAAAACAGTAAGCCACTAATCTTATTTTAAACACATTGAGCTCACTTCTGTTTATGAACTTTACTGTCATAACATTATAGTAGAATACAATCATAATAGTCATTACTAGTTGTAGTGTACTGAATGACTAGTCTTCGTTTTCAAAATATTTGTTTATTCAGCTGATTGTAATAGCTATTGGAAGCTTCCAGCAAAAGCAGATTCAGTCCAGCAACTGTTGCTACACCAGAAAGACGAGAGACAAGAAAGTGTCACTAAGGAATAAGGGAGTATGACAAATCAGCATCTTTTGCTGTGTTTGGCACAATCAGATGAAGGTCTAAGATGTGTTCCGATAGAAAACCCACGAAAAATCGTAATCAAAATATACTTTTGTGCTGTATTTATGTGTGAAAATTACAAAAAAGATGATTGTTATAATGATTGCCATGTTATTTGTAAATAAACTCTCTCGTTTTTTCCTGTTTTGTAAATTATCTTTTATTTGGGAAACAATGTCCTACATTCCTGACGGTACTTATAAGTACCAATATATGTTTGGGCCATTAAAAATTAACGAAACTAAATTTTCTTCGACGTTTGCTTTAAATGCGCCAAAAGCGATATGATAACGCATTGTTTAAGAATTTTTTTTATTCAGATCCTAATTCCGTAAATAAAGGGTTAACTCATTATTCAGATACTTTTTTCTCTTTGAATTCCATCAATTTGATATATTAAATAGTTTCCAGCGGGGGTGTAGACTCAGCCACACAGCTTCACGTTTTAAGGTATACTTTATATCTAATTATCTAAAACAATATCAACCAATCAAATCATCTCTCACCTGAATGTTATCACCGAAGCTCGTGATCCGCCCCTTCAGCTAGTGTCAGACAGTTAGGTCGTCTGCTGGTGTCTCAACGTCCCTCATCCAGTCCATCTATTGTGATTTATTGAACATCGCTCGTTTGAAAACAGATTCAACCGTTTTCGGGTGAAAAATAAATCTTCGCAAGATGCTGAAGATAGTTTTAGCGTTGCTAGGTAAGTTTAAGTTACTTATTTTTTAAAGCTTCGGGTAGATTAAGTTATACATATTCGTATCTTGTGCATGTCCTTTTATACTTGATCAATTCATCGAAGTTAAGACCCGATGATTCACTGTGACTTGAACCGTAATCTTTTACCTAAGAAAATGAGTCAAACTTCTTAGTTTAAAATCTCAGTCCACACCCACTCCCTCCCCCAACCCTTCTTACACCACCATAGACTAAAACAAGACTATAACCATTGACTGGATTCCCATATTAAAACATCAGTACCCCGATATAGTATTTCTTCTCTTGCCAAATTCACGTGTTGATATATCCCATCGTTAGCCTTAGACTGTCATCGAGAATAACTCCCTGCATCCCCTCTAGCTACGCCACTGTATGAGACGTAACGTGAGGGTGGTGCTAGCCCTTTATATTCCCACCCCGCCTAGAGACGACATTAGTTCACCAAACCATTGTGATTTCTCCACAGCTCTGGTGGGGCTCTGTGTGGGGGACCAGTGTGCTGACCAGGCCAACGCCTGTTTCACAGACGGTGACAGCAGAGCCATCAGCCGGAAAATGCAAAATTATGATCTGGAAGCGGTTTGCATGTGAGTAGACCTTTGAACTCTCCTACTAGTATACATCAAAGTGTCTAGGTGTAATGCTACATATTCTAGTAGACAAGAAACCATAAAAAGCTTACTTGATCCACTACAATCGACATGAAGGTACCACGAATCGAATCAAATAACAGCTAGGAAGACTCAGAAACAACCTTCGGCTTATAAATCCAGAACTGAATACTCTACGTTCTACCACGCCATTCCCAAATGAACATCAAATAAATAAAACTAAATAAAATAATGGAAGATGGTAGCTTGATAATAGAGGAAACAGAGCTCTGTAGGTGTTAATACACACCAACAGCAAGTTTCCCCATTCTTACAACTAACACGTTTTTTTTGTAAAGTGGAATATGTCACTGTACAACACACAATGTTTAATGATGCTGTTGAGCACCGCATGTGTAAACTACACACACAGCTTATGTATGTAGCTAGAAGTGTGTATCTTAGGTGTGTAGCTACAAATGTCAAATTTAAGTGTGGTACAACACATGTCTATTTAATGTGTACTACTACGCATGTATAATTAATGTGTGCAACTACACACGCATATATTATGTGTAGTACTACACATGTCTAATGTATGTGTGCCAGTACAAGTGTGTTGGTTTATGTCTTGCAGGCACTACCTGACCTCTATCACGTGCGCCAATAATGTCCAGGGTACTTGTACAGAAAAAGCAGCAACCATTGCTAAAGCCAACAACGCAACAAGCAACTTATGCGGTGAGTTTGAGGGCGAATTTTCGGTGACACCAAGCCTGAAAAATAAAAGTTCTCATTTTAGACCTAAGGATTCATAGGGCAGTTACAGTAGTGTCATTTGTTTCTTGACACCGGTACATGAAGGTATGTTGTAGTCAGCACTATGCACAGCCGCCTCTACTTTCCTTAACGTGAGTCAGGTACCCATCCAAGCTGGGTGGACGCAGGGATAGCCTCTGCAGAATCAAATCCAGATCGAGATCCGAACTTAAGACTTTCAGGTAAGTAGTCGAGGTCTCTATCGCATGACCACAGGAAGACTAAAATGCTATGTGTTCTTAAGCATCATATGGTTGTGGTCAGCCGTTCTAGTTATGTATGTTGTTCGTCCAAAACATAACACAAAGCTTTCAAATAATAATTTCAAACGTAATGTTGAGCACACTGAAACCTTAAGGGTCGTCCATATGCTCTCAAAATAGTTAGACCCCGTCAGTGGCTTCGCTAGGTCGGATGTCACCCGTTGCGGCACTTCATGGTGTCACCCACCCCTGAGGGGTACATTGAACGAACTGTTTACTAATTATTAATCAATCTGGGGTTTTCATAGTCATTCACTGAATCAGGCGCGTCCCCCGGCGCTTGGACAGAGTGCGATTTGACGCCACGGGCTAAACTGTGAGCACTATGCGCTTATGTTTGCATTTAAGTTGTGTTTATGTTATAAGTGTTGTGTTTGTTTTTCCGTTTGTGCTTTTTTTCGTTTTTGTTTGCATTGTGTTAATGTTTTCATTTGTGTTTTATTTTCGTTTTTTTCTTTTTTGTTTGTGTGTTGCATTTGTGTTTTCGTTTGTGTTTGCATTGTGTTTGTGTTTTCTTTTGTGGTTGTGTTGTGTTTGTGTTTAGTTTTGTTCTGTTTCCAAGTTGGTACATTTAAAAAAGATTTATCGTGGCGGAGCACGGGTATGCAGCTAATATATATATATATATATATATATATATATATATATATATATATATATATATATATATATATATATATATATATATATATATATTAGCTGCATACCCGTGCTCCGGGTATACATATATATATACATATATATATACATATATATATATATACATATATATATATACACATATATATATATATATATATATATATATATATGTATGTGTGTGTGAGTGATTGTGTGTGTGTGTGTGTATGCATATATTGTCGAGATGGTCAATGTGTACTTATTAGACTTTTAAACTCGAATTATGTATTAACTGAACAGGCAAAAAGCATTTTTATTCTATATGTAAGCCCTGCTAGGGGGGGATACCTAAAATCTACCCTTCTAGGCTTAACTAACTAATCTGTCCGGTCAGTGCAACCGTGGTAGAACCCACAGTGGTTAAACACTAACCTTAGTCTAAATAATAAGCTACTAAAATAAAACAAAAACTTTTACAGTTAATAAAATTTATTTACCAAGAATGACTAGTATAAAATTTATTCAACAAAATATGGAACCAAAAGTTATAAAAAAAGAATAGATAAAAAAACTGACACAAAACAGAACCAACGAAACAAACTTTTTACATCAAACAAAACATTACGTTTGACCATTTGCTGGTGTTGCGCCGACTTATGATGTCTAGGATGGTCCAGGCCCTGACACACAGAAACCTCCCTTCATCCATTCTCGACATCCAAAAGTCCACACCAAACAAAACACTACGTAAAACCACTACGTACAATACATTACGTAGAACACAATACGTACACAACAAACTTTTTACACCAAACAAAACAATTCATATATAACAAAACACCCAGCCAAGTTGCCCAAGCAACCTCACTGGAAGGGGGGGGGGGAAGAGAAAAAGAAAAGGAAAACATAAGAAAAATGCATGGTAATGGCAGATACATACATAAATATATACACAAGTTCAAAATGCTACCTACTACTACTATCTAGCTAAAGCCTCGAGTAAAACTAATCCTTACTATACAATTCTAAAAGCAATTCTCAAAAACAACTAACCACTGTCTAAAGAAGAACAAGCAACTTAAAAATAACGTGTAAACAAATTCATCGTAGAACCAATCTTTCCTACACAAGGAAGCCCTAAGCCATTGGTCTACCTAAACAACATCTATATTGATAACATTAAGTTAACACACTCCGCTAAGGTCCCAATGAAGGCAGACACAAAGCAAGCGATACTCAACATGACGTTGCACGAAACAGCACACACATTAATTTTAAACAACCTAAAACTCGAGGCAACTAAAATATACTAATCTAATTACTGTCTAAAACAACTGACTATTGACTAAGCCAATCCTAGTCAATAACACATCATAAAACAATCAAGTAAATGCACACACGCATTCACACTAGTTTAGGAAAACACTCCTAAACACACTGGCCTAAACCACGTGGTCCGAAACACACGCCACGGGTTTAGAAAACACAAAAATACATTTTAATTCAAAATAACACATCACGTGCATACCAGACATGCCGATGCTCACTATCTCGTTTTAGACGAAAATGAAAGAAAACGAGAAACATCGTCAGTCGCATTCATACAAATCACATAAAGATAAAGTATAAAAAAACAAATACCTCCACGCGTGCGGTGCGCCACGCAGAAATCTGACCCGACCTACATCTCGCCGCGGGTCAAAAAAAAAAGGAAGAAAATCACTCCGAGCGGTCAATTTATACTGACCGCTTCGAGCGGAAGGGGGACCCCGTGCTGTTCCCCATTGGACCACCATGCACTCCCAGATTCGCAACAAATAAAATAATACAAAAAAATCCATTCACCCGCTCACATTCACCCCTTTTAAAAATCTTACAGTCCCTGTAAGACAAAAAAATACATATAACAATCTTAAAATAAAACATGCACCCATCTCTTACACCAAGCCTATCAGCTTGAATGCAAGAAAAAAACAATTTCCATTAACATTAATCTTGCGTCTGTGCTCCCTAAAAAAACTCAAGGCACCAAGATAGTGTTCCCTTCACTGAGGGCTGATCCGCGCTACTAGTCCTGTCGGTCGTTCACCCAGAAGGACAAGGGGGGAGGGTCAGCCTAGACCCGCCCGCTACTAATGGCACACGTTGCCTGTCCATCCCGTCCACCTGGGTCCACTACACAACACACCGTGTACTGGTTCTGGCCTCATCGTAAGACCACCGGTAAAACGTCCGCTTGTTTGGTCCGGAGATGACGCAACCGCCTTGAACCACTGGCTCTCCGACTGTTACCCGCCCCAACGATCGTGCCTCCGCTTCGACACACCTGTGGGGCGGGTGTCCAGTAGCCCTCTTTGTGGGTCAAGGAATTGACGTCATAGGCCTCTCGTTGGTGGGGAGCGTCCGCTTGGTTGGGCCAGGTGGTGACGCAACCGCCTTGCCCCACTGGCTCTCCGACTGTTACCCGCCCCCAATGATCGTGCCTCCGCTTCGACACACCTGTGGGGCGGGTGTCCAGTAGCCCTCTTTGTGGGTCAAGGAATTGACGTCATAGGCCTCTCGTTGTTCACCGGTCTGCCGTACACACCAGATCCGCGCCACGCCCGTGTGTGTTGTCCAGTCTAGACCACACGAGGCCGCCATCTTCATCATACGCCAGGTCCAGTGCCACACACCGTGCCTTGTCCAGCCACGCACACTGAAGGCTCGTCGAGGCACGTCTCTCCCTGAAGGCTCGTCGAGGCACGTCTCTCCGCCAACCTGACTGGGTGTTTAAACAACAAACAATCCCTACACTACACACAAACTAAACACATATGGTTCCAAAAAGGGCCTATCAAGAACAAAAAAATTTAACTAAGCTACACTAGCCCTAGTAAAAAAACAAAAATTTAACTAGACTAAAGCACTGACCCCACTCGTGCTACCAATTTGTAAGCCCTGCTAGGGGGGGATACCTAAAATCTACCCTTCTAGGCTTAACTAACTAATCTGTCCGGTCAGTGCAACCGTGGTAGAACCCACAGTGGTTAAACACTAACCTTAGTCTAAATAATAAGCTACTAAAATAAAACAAAAACTTTTACAGTTAATAAAATTTATTTACCAAGAATGACTAGTATAAAATTTATTCAACAAAATATGGAACCAAAAGTTATAAAAAAAGAATAGATAAAAAAACTGACACAAAACAGAACCAACGAAACAAACTTTTTACATCAAACAAAACATTACGTTTGACCATTTGCTGGTGTTGCGCCGACTTATGATGTCTAGGATGGTCCAGGCCCTGACACACAGAAACCTCCCTTCATCCATTCTCGACATCCAAAAGTCCACACCAAACAAAACACTACGTAAAACCACTACGTACAATACATTACGTAGAACACAATACGTACACAACAAACTTTTTACACCAAACAAAACAATTCATATATAACAAAACACCCAGCCAAGTTGCCCAAGCAACCTCACTGGAAGGGGGGGGGGGGGGGAAGAGAAAAAAAAAAGGAAGAAAATCACTCCGAGCGGTCAATTTATACTGACCGCTTCGAGCGGAAGGGGGACCCCGTGCTGTTCCCCATTGGACCACCATGCACTCCCAGATTCGCAACAAATAAAATAATACAAAAAAATCCATTCACCCGCTCACATATATATTTTGCAATTTTTCGTCTTGGTGTCACCCCCCTAAATGATGTCACCCGGTGCTGTCCGCGCCCTCCTCGCGAATACTGTGGACCCCGTTAAAAGGACGTCACACTTTACCCCCAATCATGTGCAGTTTTATCTTTGAACCAGACTTTTCTTTCTAAAATAATAATATACGTCCCTTAAAAATTTATTAAAATTTAAAATTTAAGAAAAAGTGACTTACTAATACATTTGTGTTAAAAATTTGTGTTACAAAACCAGCCATTAAAAAACTGAAGAAGGCGCATGTAAACTAAGATTGAAATATTCATGATCTACGTCTTACGAAATCTAATGTCCCCCTCCCTCCCCACCCTCTCCCAAAAGGAGCCGACGGCAAGCCTGACCAATGTGGCCGAGACTTCAAGAGCTGCATGGACCAGTTTACTAGCATCGAAAACGATTTCCGGGCTCAGGATGCCAAACTAGCCTGCCAGTGAGTGTCAGGGAGTGGTTTAAGGAACTTTTTTGGTTTGGTTAATCTTCCAGCTTATTCAGAGTAATCACTCATAATAGGGAGTAGTTTCCCTTGATGGAATTTATTTTGGTTCATCTTCCAGCTTATTCAGAGTAGTCTCTCTTTTATCCTATTTTTAACAACCATAAAAAGCATAGCAAAACATGTAAACTTAACTACACTTAAGGCAAGTTTCATGTATCAGAACCTTAATTAGATTGAAGCACATAATGTTCATCTAAAATAATATTGTCAAGTCTAATATAAATATGTAGCCATTGAATAAATACAAAACAACAACAACAACAAACAACCCACTACAGCACGGCACAAATATGATATTACTGCTTTAATGTACGCTTTGTCTATAGACACAAATAAATAATTGGTGCAGCTGGGATTGCATCGTTAAGTAAATTTTAAATATTAATAAAACACTTTTTAATTTCCCAATTAATCGTAACAATATATACCAGTTTGCAGATAATATGTAAGCCGTAAGGGCTTTTATATAAATAGCTATCTATTCACTAACCTAAACTAAACTTCTGGTACGTGTTTATAAAGGGCGATCAACCAATACGATTCTTGCACAACTAATTTGAAGAAAAACGACGATTGCAAGGCGAGGATTGCAGTGGTTCTGAATGCATTTGAGACAACTTTGTCTGGAGATGAGCTGCTTATTGGATGTGGTAAGACATTACAATGAGGCCTTTAAGTTCCCTATAACGGTCGACAATTCAAACCGTCTGTTTTAAAATAATTTAAAGTGACAATTACTTAACATGATTGGCCTTTGACAGCTTAATAATTAGTTTTTAAAGACAATCAAACAAGGTTCTATCACTTTAATCTTCAATAAAACAATTATTTTAAAAAAGCTTTATAGCAGCAAGCTTTTAAAATGCACTGAAAAAAATTCATAAAAAACGTTTTGATAACAAGCTTTTATGTAAAAATGCACTAGAAAGTAGGAAATAAATTATACACTACTATTTAAATAACTATAAAGAAACACTGAGCAGCTTAAAAAATTTAAGACGAAATTTTTTTTATATATCTCGCACACTTAAGTGTGTCTGGTTTAACGTAGCTGGTCCAGAATTTTAACCAATGTTTTCGTTGTAAACAGACGGGGAATGTGGAAAAGCAATTGGCAACTGCACCAGCAAGATGTTGAACGATCTCGCTGTGCAGGAGGTTGTCAAGAAAAACTGGACAGATTTTTGCATGTGAGTCTTCAGGGAAATGTTTTGTTTGTGTTCTAGTGTTGTTTGATTCAACAGATACTGTCGAGTTTGTTATAGTTTTGTTGATTCACTGAATTAAGACATCTTCTAACATTTCAGTAGATGTACAAAATAAAATTCCAACTGCTATCAGTTAAGTAAATGTACTGAATTAACTCCAACTATAAGAAAACATTAACTAAACCGTTCCAGTCATTTTGATCTTGCCCTTAAACCACAGATTTTAAAATATCTGAATTTGTTTTACATGTACTTGATATTTATAAGAGTTTTCCTGTGTTAATGTGTTGCTGATATAGATCGTCTTCTCTCCCCAGTCAAGCCTACGATTCTGTGAACTGCCTGGACAGTTTAAAGAATACTCCTTCATCTCCATGTGCTGCCAACCAAACCCTAATCAACCAGGCAGACGCCGGGATGCAAAGTCAAATTAATTATCTGAAAGATTATTGTGGTAAGTGGTGTGAACTCAGTCACATCGACTGTCGTTGATGATAATATTTATAAGGGATGAAGATATCAAGACTTGTATCTATAAATTTCAGCTAGTAGCCCTAAAGCTTGTTTATAAATTCTTTGTTCTTTATTGGATTGACAATATTAAATTTACAACTACAATACACACCCGTCCTTTTATAGCTTTATATAATTATCTCTCAAATATGTCTCTCTTTACTAGTTCTTATACTGCTGATATATTTGTATACATTTCATATTCATTAATAGTTATAAACATAAGGGACTCAACTTTAACCTTTTTCTAATGTTATCAAAAAGTCTCCATAAAATCTCTGTTGTCTTTATACACAAAAATGTTTTAAGAAAATCTCCGATGTCAGCTCATCACACCGTTATTTTCATGTTTTGTTTTGATAGCTGATATAACTAGTAACTTAAAATCCATTCGTTTGTCGCTGAGCACCTGGAACTAATCAACATATGACTTGATATGACTTTAGTTTTAAGCACCTTTGTGAAAGATTGCATTTCTTAATCATTTAAGTCTTAGGACACATAAACATTTACTAGTATTTGGATTTGTATTGCAGACGCCAAGGGCAAACCATCAGCCTGTGTGTCCACCATCATCCTCTGTTACGCTGACATTGCTGGCCTCGGTCCAAAACCCACTGTGGCACAGGAGTGCGCGTAAGTTTCTTTAAACCCTAATAACTCACGTCTAACCAGCCGCTCACCAAACCTTAAAAACATCGGAATTCATTAGCTTGTTAGACTAAATTTAAAATAAATCATTTTAAAATTATGATATTTTAAAACACAATTTGGGTCTAATTATTATTTATTAATAACATTGTAGAATACTGTGAGGATAAACTAAATGTTAAAAATATAATTAATAATGCATTCCAATATACAATATCTCAATTCTTTTCCATATCAGAGCATCAGCGAAGTTTCTAGAATGTAGCAGTTCATTGCCCTGTGTCAGTGGTCTGGGTACAACCATCAATAACTTGAAAACACAACTCGTCAACGAGCAGGAAAAGGCCAATTGTGGTATTTATCGTTTACCATTTTAAGTAATCTATGTCACAACCTTGACAGCAACAGATAAATCACAATGAGAATGTCTTGTACAACGTACATCTAATTCATTAAATAATTTAACCCGTTGGCATATGAACATAGACACAGCAGTTCAGTTGTCCATTAGTGTGTGTAGAGAGTGAATAGTTCTCTTTTAAACCAGACGGTCATTGAGGTGAATGAAGTAGAGTTTGCTTTTTTGTTTGACATAAACTAGGAAGGGTATCGTGGGCAGCACTATGGCCAGCCGTCATTATATTCTCTGAGTCAGGTACCCTGGGTGGGTGGACTTGAGCCCGAAATTTTAAAACTTAATTATGCCGTCCACATTTGTTGTTCAATGTTTTAATTTCATTCCAGATAGGATCGGATCCTGCAACCAGCGCATGACGGCATGCAACGAATTCCAGACACAGTTGCAAAGTTTTACAAGCCAAGATGCCAATTACTGCAAGTAAGCTGTTGTTTGAGGGTGTGTGTGTGGGGGGGGGGAGGAATCTATTTTGTCAGGGTAGGACACACAATTCTCTCAGGGTGGGTAAGACACATTCAATTATCTCAGAATGGACACTCTTTTCTCTGGGATGGGGCATACTCAATGCTATCAAGGTGGATCACTTTTCTCATTTTAAACAGAGTTGTTTATTCGACTGAAAGCGAGTTTTTATACTTCAGTTGTAGCAGAGTAGCTAAACTGAATGCATATGTATCAGCAGGATGTGGTAATTAATCCTGATACTCGAAGACTCATTTGAAAAAAAAAAGATTTGTACAAGGAGATTGAATTTGACATTTTTAAAACTTTGGTGTGTTATGTGTGTTGTGTGATGTGTGAAGTGTGATATGTGTTTTTTATGTTTGATTTTAATTCTCTCTATAGCGTGGCTAACAAAGGTGTGTTGTGCTTTGACAACGTCCGAAATGACGTCATCTGCAGCAAAGAACAAACTAGGGTCAGCGAGTTTGAAACTATGTTGGCTATTGAAATAGCCCCAGCCTGTGGTGGTACGTGGAGATCCTTTTGTAATTATTTTTCTTGTGGTCAGGCAAGGGCCAGAGTATCATACAAAATAGACACACAACATATACAAAGTGACAGAGTATCGTAACATAGACACGCCTCTCGTAGAAAGTTCCGCTTTGCCAGTTATATTACACATTTCTAGACAGTGAGAAAGTTTATGATTATATTGATGGTTTTGTACATGGTAAATACATGTAGGTTATTTGTAGGCGTATTTTGAATTTGGTGTTTACATTTCAGTACATCTGCCTAGCTGTGACGACCGTCTGAAGATCTGCGAGGATACAGAACGTATCTTGGCATCTATTGACAACACGACCAACAAGGCGGACTACTGCAAGTGGGTGATCGACGTTTTAGTTCAAACAGACTGAGAGACGGTCAGACGGACAGACTGAGAGACGGTCAGACGGACAGACGGACAGAAGGCCGGACTGGGAAACGGTCATACGGACAGAAGGTCGGACTGAGAGGTGGTTAAACGGACAGAAGGCCGGACTTAGAGACGGTCAGATGTATTAAAGGCCGGACTGGGAAACGGTCTGACGGATTGAAGCCACAAAAGCTCAAAAAGAGTTTTACCACCTCTTACCAGTGGATGGATGGGTGGATGAGTGGGTAGATGGATTGGTCGAGGTGATCTATGGTGGATGTATGAGTGGGTCAACATAACGCCATTTCATTTAATTTATGTATCGTCGAATAAAATAATATGAATAAAATTACCATAATCTTTGTATCAAAACTGTATTTATTCTTCAGACGAACCTTCCAAGGCATCAAGTGCTTTGATGACATCAGGAAAAACGCCACTTGTAAGATGGACCAAGTTCAGGTCAAAGGATGGGAGGCAACTCTAAAAAATGTTCTCGGACCATACTGTGGCAACGGTAGGTTTAAAGTAACATAGTCGTTCTTTTATCTCTGTGTTGTTGTTTGTTTCTAAAGACTTACATCTAAATACTTTTTGTTTCCTGTATTTCAGAAGGCTATACATTTTCTCTTATATTTTTAAAAACTTAAACTAAATAACGAATCTCTTTCTCTATTTTATAGGTGGCGCTTCAGTCCATATCTCCATCGCTCTTCTCATCACAACATTGTATCTAGCTTTAAAGGCCTTCAACTTGGACAGAAGTTGAAAGAACACAGAGATTATTTTCCCATCAAATTGTCTGTAACATAGTTCATTTCTATAAATGTAGAGTTCATTTTAAAAAAATACGACCATAATTGTAGAGTTATTTATTAAATTACTCCCATAATTGTAGCTATTCATTTAAATATGGAGTTAGAACACCGTACGTTTTATCTTTTATTTCGTTTCACTAAAATGTTTCAACATTCGGCATTAAAAAGACAAAACTTGTACATGTTTTGGTTGGTGGAAGATTTCGTTGGTGGCAGTGCTACATGGTGGTAGTGCTGCATGGTGGAAGAGTTGAATGGTGGAAGTAGTGAAATGATGGTCAAGTCGCTGTAACAACAAAAATGATGCCTAGCCTTAAAAAACGTGGTTGATTTGTTAATTGCGTGTCCCTTGTATTCCTGGTCCTTATTTTAATCAACATAAATTTAAAAGTGTACATTAAAAGAGTAATTGAATGTTTGATTGTGCTATAAAAGGGCGGCACTGGTTGTGAAATGAGTATAAAGTGTCAAACAAGAGTGTTAGAGATAAATGACGTGTGTCTTGTGTGAATGGATGAAGTTTTTTTGTGTATAGATTACATTAACTAATGTAATTATGTTTGTCATAAATGCTGGAAAAATAATTATATAACTAGAGATAGTTAAACGATGATTTCTCGAGAGCTTATGATGAAATATAGACACTAGAAACAAAATAAAACAATTTTCAGCTTTCTTGTTTTTATTATTCCTTTGTAAATCCTAAAATATAAAAGCACACGTGCAAACCTGTGTTTTTGTTTTAGTTTGTGTTTGCGTTTTTGTTCACAAAAATTTAGTAAATCTCTCTAACCGTGGTACCAGATTACTAATTCAATATAAGTACAATCTTTAAAAAGTTAGGAAGTTAATACTTTTCCACGATGTCCGTTAGTCTACGGAGTGTTAACAAACCGTGTGCATATGTACCTCTCGCTTTTTCATACTATTTTTCTTTAAGGTAGTCAGAAGTTGGAGGCAGTCATAAAATATTTTTTGCTAAAGAGGGTGGATTAGTGGGGCTGTAGCAGTAGACAGAACTATTCAGATAACAATGACAGTGCTGAAGCGCGGGGCCCCTTCAAGCGCGGGGCCTAGGGCGACCGCCCAGTTTGCCACCCCCTAACGCAGGCTCTGGCCCTGGCAATTCAGATATTTTTCATAGAGGACATTGCAGGGCCTGGCCGGGACGGCTAAATGTTATAATGGACTCAGTGGCTCTGTATTTGATAGCGGTTGTGTAAAAAGAACTGGAGTTGATCGCCATTTTGTAACATTCTTAAAGTGTTTTAATCTAAATTGATAATTTTAAAAAAATGATGGTTCAGTGAAAAAAGTTCCATTTTCCAAACTGGTCATTCTTAAATGACGTAATATGAAAAGAACAAAATAAAATAAAATGTATCACCCTTTACACAACTGTTAATTGTGTCTGAAAAAAAACTACAAGTTACTTCCCTAGTTTCTTATAACCAATTACTTTCCTTGATAGATCACAGAAAAATAAAATACTTAAAAAAAACTTAAAAAAAAACCACGTTTTTCTTGTGGACTAAAAAGTAGAAAATAAATTTTCATACATTTGATGACACAAAACTTAGGTACGTTCACCATCAAATTTCCCGACCCATCTGCCCGACCCACGTTTTTTGTCATCAAATGTATGAAAATTTATTTTCTACTTTTTAGTCCACAAGAAAAACGTGTTTTTTTAAAAAGTTTTTTTTAAGTATTTTATTTTCTCCTTTTTAGTCCGTTGCTACACATGAAAAACGTGGTTTTTAAAAAGTTTTTTATATAGTTTATTTTCTACTTTATCTAATCACTTGATTAAGTATGACTTGACTAAGTGTTTTTAAATACACGGACTAAAAAAATCTTGAGCGACCGATACGCTTTAAACAAAGAAAGGGTGTAATTTACGTTGCTGGCGTGGAGATCTACTCACGAATCACGTGATCAAATCTCCCATAAACAAACAAATAAACGCGAAGCTGAGTTAAGGAAAAACGTGTTTATGTGTATTTTAGCATGCCCAGCGTACCAACCGTGTCACCGTTAACAATGTGTTATCGTGTCCGTTCTCCTTTTTAGTCCGTTGCTACACATAAAAAACGTGGTTTTTTAAAAAGTTTTTTTTAAGTATTTTATTTTCTCCTTTTTAGTCCGTTGCTACACATGAAAAACGTGGTTTTTAAAAAAGTGTTTATAAATACACGGCCTAAAAATCTTGAGCGACCAGGATTCGAACCTGGGTTGTCGCGGCCACAACGCTAAGTACTAACCACTATACGATCACGGCCAGCGCGCTCACATCGATTGGGGCCGAAGTAACTGTGTCAATAGGCCTCAAGTCTTGTCGGTATCTTTAGAAATCATGTCCTCAATTTTATGGTCCTTGGGGCGTAATTAAATTAAGCTAATTACGGTCACTAATTGCTAGTTTTTATGATTGCATCTGAAATTGTTAGGCGAAAGTAGCATGCATGCCAAATTTCAGGTCTCTAGAGCAATCAGAAGTGGGCTAATTTTCGATGTCAATTTTAACAACAAACATCCAAACAACCAAACAAACAAACGCGAAGCTGAGTTAAGAAAAACGTGTTAAAATAGCCCACATCGCGGGGGGGGGGGGGGGGGGGCCGGTACTTTACTTTTTGTTAGTTTATTTTGATGCTGGAAAAAATTATTATATATAATTAGCATGGATTGATAAAGTGCAATGTGGTAGGTAAAACAGATTTATTTTAAATATTACCTTTTATTTATTTTATACACTAAATATACTGTTCACTAATTACTATGTTTAATCAATAACAGTTTAGAAGCCGTCCCTAATTGTCCTCAATGTTAACTTTTATCTTTCCGTTTGCGGATAAGATGGGGTATTATAGTCCTTCACTAAATTGAATCAGACGCGTTTGCTGGCGCCCGCAGTGTGCGATTTATACTCTGGCTCTCCTGTCAGCGTCATGGTACGTACGTTAGGTTTAATCGTGCCATAGGCTGTGAATAAAAAGTGTTACTTTAGTCATTCACTAAATTGAATCCATGGCATTCTCTGGCGCCCCAACAGGGTGGAATTTGGGGCCCCAGACCTTCCCGTGAGCGCTGTGTCGACTACGTTCAGTTTAGCGAGTGTTATATACTGTGAATAAGATGGGGTACTATAGTAGTTTACTAAGTTGAATCAGGCGGTTTCATGGGCGCCCGGCAGGTTGCGATTTGGCGCTATGCGTTTATGTTTGCGTTTAGGTTTGTGTTTATGTACGCGTTTATATTTGCATTATTTACTGCATTATTGTTTGCTTTTATGTTTGCGTTTGTGTTTATATTTGTGTTTGAGTTTGTTTTTGTGTTTGGGTTCGTGTTTGTGCTTTTGTTTGTGTTAAAGTTTTCATTTGTGTTACTGTGAATAAGATGTGGTACTATAGTAGTTTACTAAGTTGAATCAGGCGGTTTCATGGGCGCCCGGCAGGTTGCGATTTGGCGCTATGCGTTTATGTTTGCGTTTAGGTTTGTGTTTATGTACGCGTTTATATTTGCATTATTTACTGCATTATTGTTTGCTTTTATGTTTGCGTTTGTGTTTATATTTGTGTTTGAGTTTGTTTTTGTGTTTGGGTTCGTGTTTGTGCTTTTGTTTGTGTTAAAGTTTTCGTTTGTGTTTGCTCGTTTGTTTCTAACTGCGTCACGATTGCATTTGTGTTTGCGTTTACGTTTGATTTTGTGTTTGGATTAATGTTTGTATTTTTTTGTTTGCGTTTGCCTTTGTGTCGGTGTTTTTGTTTGTGTTTGCAATTGTGTTGGCGTTTGATTTTCTGTTTGTATTTTTGTTTTGGTTTGGTTGTTTGTGGTTAGGGTTAAGTTTAGAGTTAGGGTTAGGTTTAGGGTTGAGTTTTATGTTGTCAAACGTCCATATTTGCATATATGCATTTACTTGGAAAAGTTATTAATAATTTCTAAACACGGACAATGCGCGTATTAGTTGCTTAATCAACACATATATCATGGTCCTTAACAGATATACTTTTCACACAGGCCAGTGCAGGACTTGGTCGGTATGGCTAATATATATATATATATATTCGGAGGGCGCCAAATTGAAAGTTGGCGCCGGGAAGGGTCGTTTTGAAATTTTTTCTATACATTATTCCTAACAATTATGATTTGAAATCGCTGTGACATGGGTTATCTAAAGAGTCAATAGTTAGCTGTGACTTGAAGATATCTTGTCGGTCAAATGTTAAAAATGAGGATACCTAGCCAGTCACTTGTTAGACATTGATGTAAACCCTGCTAGGGGAGGGGGGAGATATTCTATCTATCATTCCCTAGGCTTATCTAAATAATCTGTCCGGTCAGTGCAACCGTGGTAGACCCGCGGTGGTTAAACCCTAACCTTAGTCTAGATAAAACACACAAAAAAGCTTTAACAATTTACAGAATTTATTGCATGAAATAAAATGGATCCAATAAAAAAGCAAGAGTAAAAAAAAATTCATGAAAAACGTTTTAATAACAAGCTTTTATGTAATGATGCACTAAAGAGTAGAAAATAAATTATAGACTACTATTTAAATAACTATAAAGAAAAGCGTGGGTCACTTTAGTATCTATTGGATACCTTTACTAATGTTAAGGAAGACACCCACGCTTTTCTTTATAGTTATTTAAATAGTAGTCTATAATTTATTTTCTACTTTTTAGTGCATCATTACATAAAAGCTTGTTATTAAAACGTTTTTTATGAATTTTTTTTTCAGTACTTTACATGTTTTATTTACAATAGAGTTACATGACTAAAAACCATTGCGCGCCTACTGAACATCACGTTCAGTAGGCGCGCAATGGTTTTTGAACGCAGCCATTACGTGATGGCGCAGCTATTGAAGGTGATGACGCGTGTGGTGTGGTTGGCTAGACATGCCTACTAATTCAGTCCAAATTTTTATTAATTCATAAAAAATTAATTAGGCATCCAATTAAGTCAAATTTAGTTTCAGATTGCATTGTCTTCATGTCTTGACCCACGTGCCAACTGTGAATCGTATCGGTCAAGTAGAACTGTCCGAATTTTCACTCCTGCGTTTCCGTCTAGACAGACAGACAGAGGAAGTGAGTTAAATAAAAGCTTGTAATAATAAAAAAAAAATTCATAAAAAACGTTTTAATAACAAGCTTTTATGTACTTATGCACTAAAAAGTAGAAAATAAATTATACACTACTATTTAAATTACTATAAAGAAAAGCGTGGGTCACTTTAGTACTTTACTACCTATTGGATACCTTTACTAATATTTGAGAAGAGACCCACGCTTTTCTTTATAGTAATTTAAATAGTAGTGTATAATTTATTTTCTACTTTTTAGTGCATAAGTACATAAAAGCTTGTTATTAAAACGTTTTTTATGAATTTTTTTTCAGTACTTTACATGTTTTATTCACAATAGAGTTACATGACTAAAAACCATTGCGCCTATTGAACTTGATGGCGCAGCTATGGAACGTGATGACGCGTGTGGTGCGGTCGGCATAGACATGCCTATTGATTCGGTCCAAATTTTAATTAATTAATAAAAAATTAATTAGGCATCCAATTAAGTCAAATTTAGTTTCAGATTGCATTGTCTTCATGTCTTGACCCACGTGCCTACTGTGAATCGTATCGGTCAAGTAGAACTGTCCGAATTTTCACTCCTGCGTTTCCGTCTAGACAGACTGACGACAGACTGTCGACAGAGGAAGTGAGTTAAATAAAAGCTTGTAATAAGATCTACATCAATCCCAGGCAAAACAACTAGGCTAAAAACACACAAAACAAAACAGCACTTTAACGGAACAAAACTCGACTAACAAAACACGACTAAACAAAACAACTAATTCCGGACTACCGTCAAAACTTAAAAGAAATAATTTTGCAACGTTCGACAATTTGATGGTGCTGCACCGACTTATGATGTCTAGGGTGGTCCAGGCTTTGAGACACAGAAACCTCCCTTCATCAGTTCTCGACATCCCAAAGTCCACACCAAACAAAACACTACGTACAACCACTACGTACAACCACTGCGTACAACCACTACGTACAAATCATTATGTACAAAACATTACGTACGAAACATTACGTACAAAACACCAAGCCAAGTTGCACAAGCAACCTCACTGGAAAGGGGGCGGGGGGAGAAAAAAAAGAAAAGGAAAACATAAGAAAAATGCATGGAAAAATATAAATATATACACATGTTTAAATACTACTAACTTCTTCTAAAGATATCTAAAATAATCAAGTAAAATACACACATGCATTCAAACCAGCTTAGGAAACACTCCTAGACATAACGATCTAAACCACGTGGTCTAAAACACACGCCAAGGTTTAGAAAATACCAAAATACATTTTAAACGGACATGCCGTTTTAGACGAAAAGGAAATAAAACAAGAAACACATCGGCAGCCGCATTCAAACAAATCACATAAAGATAAAATATAAAAAAAAAAACAACAAATACCTTCACGCCAAGCGCCCACACGGAAACTGACCCGATCTACATCTCGCCTCGGGTCAAAAGAACGAAGTTCTTATAATGACCGCTTCGGGCGGAAAGGGAAACCCCTGTAACCGCTGTCCAGTGGACCATTCACGCACAGATTCGCACACAATAAAATAATACAAAATAAATCATCCATTCACCCGCTCACATCGAGATATCTATAGAGGCAGTCGAATGCAAGAGAATAGGGTATCTAGTCAGTCTAAGGGGTCGTCCATAAATGACGTCACACTCGTAGGGGGGGGGGGGTCCGTTATTTTGTGACGGTGTGTGATGAGGGGGGGGGGAGGCTCAGATGGTGCGACTTCACACTTTTGCATTATAAAGAAGCCATGTTAGAAAACGAATTTTAGACGTTATTTCGCGTTTTAGAAAACTGTTTTAATAAATTGTAATAGGAACTTTTTAAACCACTCTATTTTGACAAAGTTCAGACAAGATCTTGGAAAAATATCGATTTAAAAAAAAAAACATTCAACTGTAATTTTTAGGGCGGGTAGTAGGCTGAGGTGTGACGTCATTTTAGGGGGGAGGATCTGGCTTTTTGTGAGGATGTGTGGCGGAGGGGGGGGGGGAGAGGTAAAAATCGTCAAAAAAGCGTGACGTCATTTATGGATGACCCCCTAATGTTAGGTGTAAAACAAGCGCAAAGTGGAAATTACCACTTTCTTTTGAGCGGATCAAAGGAGAAGCACTTTCAAGCATACGACATTCATCCCTTAAGAGATAAATCGATATCACATGACTTTAGATTACAAATTTAATTAAAAAGGTGCTGCTTACTCATGTGCAACCAACAAAAAATGTTTTATCCGAAATACAATCCATCTTAGCTGTTCTATTTTGAAGTTTTTCAATCAATTTGATTTAACTATAAATGTATCAGCATGGTGTTGTCCCAACTGTACAGCTTAGCGTTTTTAAAGTCTACTTTATCTCAGTCAATTTCAGCAAATCAAACCAACCACCATTTGTGTGTTATCAGCGAGGTTCGTGATCCGCCCCCTTCTGATAGTATCTGTTGTGTATCTGTATCAGCGTCTCACATACAATTTTTTGTGATTTATTGAACATCGCTCGTTCCAAACAGATCCAAAGTTTTTTTTTGGTGAAAAAAAACCACTTAAAAAAACTTCGCAAGATGCTGAAGATAGTACTAGCTTTGCTAGGTAAGTTCAAGTTACTTTTTTTTTTTTAGAGATTCGGGTATATACATTAGACACGTTCATATGTTGTGTATGTCCTTGTATACTTTGTCAATTCATCCAGGTAAAGATTCAATACATAAATAAAGTACTACGACTTTTTCCTTAATATTTTTCATACGAAAATTCATCAACGTTTTCAATCAACACCCTACCCAACCACATAAAGTTTACCATTATAATAACACATATGTCTGTTTACTTGCTCCATTTTGGATCTTGATAAAGACTAAAGTTGGCTAGAACCATTGATTTGATACAGAAACATAAGTACCCTGACTAAAGTATCTCTACTGATGATAAATTCACGATTTGATCCTTTCCTTCGTTAGCATTATATTGCCTCTCTTTAGCAACACCCTAGGTAGCGATGAAACATGAATATGGTGTTAGCTCTTTGGATACACACACCGCCTTGGGACGCCCTTAGTTGAAAGAAAGTTCACCAAACCATTGTGATTTCTCCACAGCTCTGGTGGGGCTCTGTGTGGGGGACCAGTGTGCTGACCAGGCCAACGCCTGCTTCACAGACGGTGACCGCAGCGCCATCAGCAGGAAAATACAAGCTTTTGATCTGGAAGCAGCTTGCATGTGAGTTGACCTTTAAACTGTCCCAAAATTACAAAGCAAAGTGTCTATGTGTGATGCTACATAATTGTAGTAGACACGTAACCATAAAGAGCTTACTTAATCATGCACACTCCACATATGAAGGTACCGGGAATCGAATAAGGTACTCATGGCAGGTGGGTAAACTCAGGGACACTCTTCAGCTTATAAATCGAGAACTGAATACGCTACGTGCCTATTTATTAACTCTACTGTTCTAATATGCCTTTCCCAGCGGAACGTCAAACAAATGAACACAAGTCTAATGTATGTGTGCCAGTACAAGTATGTTGCTTTCTGTCTTGCAGGCACTACCTGACCTCTGTCACGTGCGCCAACAATGTCCAGGGTACTTGTACTGAAAAAGGCGCAGCCATCGCTAGAGCCAACAACGCAACAAGCAACTTATGCGGTGAGTTTGAGGGCGAATTTTCGGTGACACCAAGACTGAAAAATAAAAGTTCCCATTTTAGACCTTAAGATTCATAGAGTAGATGAAGTGGTGTTTATATGTTTCTTGACTTTGGTATATGAAAGTATAATGTAGACAGCACTATGCCCAGCCGCGTTTAATTAACAAAAAGTTTACAAATAATAATTTCAAAATGTACGGGCGCATGAAACCTAAAGGGTCGTTTATATGGTCTCAAAATAGTTAGACACTTTAACCCCACCCCCTCCCAATTGTAGATTGTTTTTTTGTTTTTTTTTAAAACCCGCTTTACTAAAATATTAACATATGTCTATTGAAAATTTTGATTACAATTTTAAAAAGTTAAAAAGTTGAACTTACTGATACGTTTGCGTTACAAAAAACTACTTTAAGCACATTTCACCCCCCCCCCCCAGCTAGGAGTTTGGCGCCATTTTTTGACGACCCCCTTATTACACTGCTAACCGTTAAAAAAACAAAAAAAAAACCCCTCTAAGCCGCATCTTTGAAATAGTCATGATCTACATCTTACGCTTACAGCTAAGCAATTTAATGTCCCCCTCCCTTTCTTCCTCCTTCCCACAGGAGCCGATGGCAAGCCTGACCAGTGTGGCCGAGACTTCAAGAGCTGCATGGACCAGTTTACCAGCATCGAAAATGATTTCCGGGCTCAGAATGCCAAACTAGCCTGCCAGTGAGTGACATGGAGTAGTTTCCCTTTAAAGGACTATTTTAGCTTGGTTAAATTCCAGCTTATTCAGAGTTGTCTCTCTTGATAGGGAGTAGTTTCCCTTAAGGGGACTATATTGGTTTGGTTAATCTTCCAGTTTATTCAGAGTAGTCTCTCTTCTGTTATATTTAACAGCTATAATAAAAGCAGCAACAACAAGTAAACTACGCCTAATGCTAGTTTCGAGAAGCATACAAGACAATGTGTTTACTGGGAATTCGTTAAGTAATTAACTAGCTGCGCTAATGATGTCCCAGTTGTCAAGTTCCAAATCAAATTATTTGATACTGAAGTTATAGAGTTTTAAAACTGGTAACCACAATATACCAAAAGATATGCAACAGGAGCTTTTGTATCAAAAGCTTTTTTGATTAATTAGATGTATAAATAATATTCTCTAGTCGAACAATAAATGCACGAGATAAATGGCCCGTTGAGGAAGAAATACAAAGGGCGCTAGGTGGATACTAACTTGATACTGTTTTTTTTTTTCTCTAAACCAAAACCAAAACCAAAATCTTCACCTCAACTTCAAATTTATCCGGAAACGAAAAATGTCATTGAAAAAATATTTTTATCCAGAATCAGTATTTTAATCGGATTTAAGCTTGATCTACACCTAGTTACTGCACATTGATACTACATAGAGTCGTAGTCATACCCTTAAACCTTGCAACTAAGCTCAAACATGACAAAAGTCGCATTTAGAGTTTTTTAGGCAACTCTACGGGGGAGGAGGATCTGGCTTGCCCCACCCACCCACCCCGAAGCACGTCTACCGTCCCACTCAACGAAATAAAATTTACATAGAAAATACATAGAAAATTTAGTCCACTCCCAACGCCGAAAATTACCCCCCCCCCCCCCCAGGGAGGAAAACGTCTGAAGGAAACACTGGTCGCGTTTGTAGATCATTAAGACTAAAGGTAGACCCTACTTCTATAATAGTGTTTATGTTATACATTTTTCTCCGTGAGGGGCACAATACATTATATTTTTGTTCTGGGGCAAGGAGGGGGGCAGAGGTGCTTTGCCCCTACCCGAAGTGATGCATGAAAGAAACTCTGCACGCAAACCACTTTTCAGATTAGACAAATGATTTAGGCGGTAATGTCAGTGCTTTTATTATAGAGTATCAATGATGTTATTATGATTGTGTATTTTTCGGCTTTGGCTTTTTAATTCTATGCTTACTCAAAGCATCAATGACGTCATATTATTGTGTCTACATTCCCGGCTTTAGACTATTTCCTACTATATGTTCCATGTGACGTCACGTTTCGTTTTCCGTATGACTGAATGCTTTTACTTTCCTTGTGTTTTAACTATAGCGTTCTCAACAGATAGATAAATAGGTAGATATATAGACAAAAAAACCAGCAAGATTACTTAGATTTTACTGCTTTAATGTGGGCTTAGTGTCTTTCAACACAAAATAATTTGTTCAGGTGGTTTGCATCGTAAAGTAAATTTTAAATGTGTATAAACAACTTTTGATTTTAGTTTCCTAATTTATTGTAACCATGCACAACAGTTCGCTATCAATTCACTTCCCTAAATGAAACTTTTCTAACATGGTTATAAAGGGCGATCAACCAGTACGATGTTTGCACAACTAATTTGAAGAAAAACGACGCTTGCTTGGCGAAGGTTGGACTTATCCTGAGTGCATTTGAGACAACTTTTTCTGGAGATGAGCTGCTTATTGGATGTGGTAAGACATTACAATGAGACCTTTAAGCTCCATCATGACAGTCTATTATTTAAACCGTCTATTTTAAAATGATTTAAAGTGACAATTACTAAACATGATGTACCTTTGAAAGCTTAATGAATAGTTATTAAGGAACATCTAACAAGGTTTTTTCCGATTCTTTTCTCCGGGGATCACTAGAAGCTTACGGAGGTGGGTACTTTAATCTTCATTAAAACAAATATAAAAAACTTTATAGCAACAAGCTTTTAAATGCGCTGAAAATGAGAAATAAAAATATTTAGTTTCCTTTCATAAAAGCTTTGGTTGCTAAAATATGTAAAAGATATCATGAGTAACCAAAGCTTTTATGAAAGAAAGCAGATTAGTTTTATTTTCTTATTTTCAGTGCATTTTAAAGGTTTTTATATTTGTTTTATTGAAGATTAAAGTATGTTTTGGTTTTTGTTGGTTGTGGATAGTGTTACGTTTAAAGTCAGAGTTAGTTTTAGGGATCTGTGGTCTTTTGTCAAACTGCTTAATAAACACACAAGTCATGGTCCTTTACTGAAAGGTTTTTCACAGAGGCCAGTACAGGGCCTGGCCGGGAGGGCTAGTTATATAATAATATATAGATTTTCTACTGTTAAGTAATTCATAATTAATGAATTCGACACTACCAAAGCTGCAGCTAAAAATGTTTGCTTTAAAACACTATCAGTAGCTCGTTAAAGGCAATTATCCTCCAGCCTGCGTGTCGACAGTTTATTGTACAGAGGGCAGCAACAAGATCAAGTAGATCTTGCTACCTCCCCTTTGTTTCGAATCGTTTAAAACATCTATTATCTACCCCTAATAGCCATCACTCGAGCCGCCTCTACGATTGTTAACTTTCGACGCGAACCACAGCTGATCAGACTCATAGGGTGTTCGAGTCTAGCTGGTTATCTCCCCTTCTTTTATGGAATATAGGAATCTATCGAGTAATTTAATTTTGTTACCTCCCCTTAGTTTCTAAACTATTTTTATTAAGTTTTAATGACTAATTAAACATCTAATTAAATAAAAAAAATACTTGTATTGTCGTTAAAGTGGAGCGTAAAAGGAAAGTTTGAACGAAATCGCTGCATTAGAGTGGGTAAAAATTGAGTTACAAGGTTTGTCCTAAACCCACAAACAAACGAGTAAGCAAGCAAACAAACAAACAAACAACAAATTGTTGGTCCGTTAAAAATAGTAAATTTAATGCCACAAAACTCCCCAAACTTTAGTGTTTTTCCGGACCCACAATTTTAAAATGTATAATAAATCAGTTTGAAGATATGCTTTTAAATTGTTTAGCTGAGTATCACAAAATATGACAGAAGTTCAGGCATTCATTGTTTATTGGGCTTAAATACTTTATGAGTGGTGGAAATCCTAAAAAGAGTTTAATTTTTCAAGGTGTCATAGTTATCAAGATTTTCCAACCAATTTTTTAAAAATGGAAACACGATTGAAGATGTACCTTCAACAAAAAATAGAAATAATTGTTTCCTAACGAGTATTTAAGAAGTTTGTTTTAACCTTAAGTGTGTCTGGTTTAAAGTAGCTGGGCCAGAATTTTTAACCTATGTTCCCATCGTAAACAGACGGCCCATGTGGACAAGCCATCGGCACGTGCACCAGCAAGATGTTGAACGATCTGGCTATGCAGGAGGTTCTCAAGAAAAACTGGACAGATTTTTGCATGTAAGTCTTCAGAGATTGTCTTTCTTTGGGTTCTCTTGTGGTTTGATACAACAGACATTGTCCAGTCCGTTACAGTTTGTTGGATCTATTGCATTACGACAGCTCCAAACAGTTTGATAGATGTACTGAATCAACTAAAGCAGCTAACAGTTTGGTGAATGTACTGAATTAACTCCAACTCCATGAAGACACGAACTAAACCGTTCAAGTCATATTGATATTGCATTATTTTAAAATATCTGAAGTTGGTTTTACATGTACTTGATATTTATAAGAGCTTTCCCGTGCCACTGTGTTGCTGATGTGAGACGTCTTCTCTCCCCAGTCAAGCCTACGATTCTTTAGACTGCCTGGACAGGCTCAAGACCTCTACAGCATCTGCATGTGCTGGGAACCAAACCCTAATCAACCAGGCTGACGCGGGGCTGCAAAGTCAAATTAATTATCTGAAAGATTATTGTGGTAAGTGGTGTGACCTCAGTCACGTAGATTGTCGTTGATGGTAACATTTATAAAGGATGAAGATGTTTGTGTATACATTCTTTGTTCTTTATGGGATTGACGATATTAAATTGACAAATTCAATACGCACCTCTCCTTTTATAGCTTTATTTAATTTAATTATCTCTCAAATATGTCACCCAGTGGCGTAGCTAAGACAGGTGTCATCCAGTGCGGCACCGCTGGTGTCACCTCCCTTACAAAATAAAAAATAATAATAGGATATATATATATATATATATATATATATATATATATATATATATATATATATATATATATATATATATATATATATGTATATATATATATATGTATATATATATATATATATATATATATATATATATATATATATATATATATATATATATATATATATATATATATATATATATATATATATATATATATACTTGGTATGATCTCCCCCTCCCCATTTTGCCAAATCGCGTGAATTTGTGAACACAGTATTTTAGTTCAAAAGGAACTAAGCGACATTTCATGGTTTTCTTGATAGCATCCCGCCTCCATTCCCCCCCCCCCCCCCCCCCACTTATCGAGTTATCGAGATCTTCAATTTAAAACTTAAAATACATTTTTACTCTAATTAATCATTAGTTGAAACATTTGTCTTTATGTGAGTCACACTCAGTTCTAATTTGTCTTGGTGTAACCCCCCCAATTGGGGTCACCCTGTTGGCCCGCATTCACATCCCCTCATCGCGACGCCTCTGATGTCACTATTTACTAGTTCTTATGCTGCTGATATATTTGTGCATATTTTATAACGAGAAAAATGGCCCGTTGAGGAAGGATACAACGGGCGCTAGGTTGATAGTGCTGTCTATTTTCTCTAAACTAAACCCCCCCCCCCCCCCCACACATACACTCCAAAACATGTCTACCGTCCCATTCAACGAAATATAATTATATACTTTTTCGAGTGTCCGCCCCCTCCCCGAAAATTCTACCCCCGCCCCCGAAAATTTCAAGTTCCCCCAACCCTCTCCGGGGAGGAAAAAGTCTGAAAGAAACACTGGTCGCATTTGTAGATCATTCAAACTAAACGAAGAACATGGGCGGGGCTTCGCCCCTACCGGAAGACATGCATGAAAAAAACTGTGCACGCTAAACACTTTTTAGATTAGAAAATTTCAAGTTCCCCGCTCAGGAGAGGAAAAAGTCCGAAAGATACACTGGTGTTTCGTTTAGCCACTACTCGAAGAATTGCATGAAATAAACTCTACACGCAAAACGCGAAGCCCCGCCCGAAAAATTGCATGAAAGAAACTCTGCACGCAAACCACTTTTTAGCATAGACACATTGATTAGGCGGTAATGTTATTATAGAGTATCGATGACGTCATTTCTTTTGTGTTGGGTGGGGGGGGGGGTCGGCTTAGACGTTCTTACGCGGGGGATGGGCTTCACGCAAACCACTTTTAAGATTAGACAACATTGGATTTTTAATTCAATGTTTACTCGAGAATCAATGACGTCATATTACTGTGTGCATTCTCCGGCTGTAGACTCATTTCCACCTAGAAGCTACAATGTGACGTCATATTTCGTTTCCGTCTTGCTGTGAAAGTTTTTAATTTGCTTGTGTTTTCTCTATAGCGTTCTTGTCAGATAGATAGATGTACAGATAGATAGACAGACAGCGAAACTATTATATAGATAATTAACAATTTAAAACATAAGGGACGTTACTTTAACCCTTTTCTAATATTTTCACTTTTCCGGAAAACTCTGGTGTGTTTATACCGGAATGTTTAAGAAAATCACATTTGTTAGCTTCTCAAACCAATGTTTTCATGTGTTTTTTTAAACTGGGATAATTAGGTACTTCAATTAGTTTTTCGCTTACGACCTGGGACTCTAGATTGAAGCACCTTTGTAAATGATTATATTGCATTCCTCAAACATCAAAATCTTATGGCAGATACATTTTTGCTGTTGTCTCGGTTTCTCGGTCATACAAGTATTATGGCTTATAAACGTTTACTATTATTTGGGTTTATATTGCAGACGACAAGGGCAAACCATCAGCCTGTGTATCCACCATTATCCTCTGCTACGCTGACATCGCGGGCCTCGGTCCAAAACCCACTGTGGCCCAGGAGTGCGCGTAAGTTTCTTTAAACCCTAATAACTCACGTCTAACCAGCCGCTAACCAAACCTTGAAAAACACTATAATTCATTAGCTTGATAGACTAAATTTAACATAAATTATTTTAAAATTATGAAATTTTAAAACACAATTTGGGTCTAATTATTATTTATTAATAACATTGTAGAATACTGTGAGGATAAACTAAATTTTAAAAATATAAATAATAATGCATTTAAATATACAATACCTCCATTCTTTTCCATATCAGGGCATCAGCGAAGTTTCTAGAATGTAGCAGTTCATTGCCCTGTGTCAGTGGTCTGGGTACAACCATCAATAACTTGAAAACACAACTCGTCAACGAGCAAGAGAAGGCCAATTGTGGTATTTATCATTTACCAATAACTAGATTCATTTGTTAGACATCGGCCACAGCGAGAAGGCCATTGTGGTATTTATCATTGACCACTTTCTAAATTCTCTGGTTATTAACTAGATTATTTTGTTAAATATTGGCTAAAGTAAGAAGTCCATCTGTTGTATCTACCATTTACCAACTTAAATAACCTGTGTTAGAACATTGACAGAGAAAACATAATGAACACGTCTCGCACAAACAAAGTACATCTAATTCATTAAATAATTTAACACATTGGTATTCGAATCTATAATTTAGAGTTCATTTGTTCTTTTTGCGTGTGTAAAGGGTGAATAGTTCTCATTTATACCAGACGGTCATTGAGGTGGATGAAGTAGAGTTTGCTTGTTTCTTTGACATAAACGTAAGAAAGGTATTGTGGGTAGCACTATGCCCAGCCGTCATTATATTCTCAGAGTTAGGTACCCTGGGTGGGTGGACTTGAGCCCGAGATTTTATGCCGCCCACATTTTTTGTTCCATGTTTTTAATTTGATTCCAGATAGGATCGGATCCTGCAACCAGCGCATGACGGCATGCAACGATTACCAGGCACAGTTGCAAAGTTTTACAATCCAAGATGCCAGTTACTGCAAGTAAGCTGTTGTTTAAGGGGGGGGGGGGGGGGCACTCTTTTTATAGGGTGGGAGCCCATTCAATTTTCTCAGGGTGGATGGGACAATCAAAACAATAAAAATCGACAATTTCATCCCATATTCTATACAATCTTTATTGTGAGATAATTTGTCCTGAGATAATTTGTAATGAGATCGTTTATCCTGAGATAATTTGTCCTGAGATCATTTGTCCTGCGATCACTTGTCCTGAGATCATTTGTCCTGAGATAATTTGTCCTGCGATCATTTGTCCTGAGATCATTTGTCCTGTCCCCGTGTGGATGAGTTGTCATATCATGATATTGACGATAGTTTTCAATTTTAAATTGTTAATTAATAAATAATTCTGAAACAGTTATTTTCAAATTATAAACGGTTTTGGAATATTAAAAAATGTTTGGTGTGTGATGTTTGTTGTGTGATATATAAGTGTGATATGTGTATTCCGGTGTTTGATATTTTGATTGGTGTGTGATGTTTGATTCTCTCTATAGCGTGGCTAACAAAGGTGTGTTGTGCTTTGACAACGTCCGAAATGACGTCATCTGCAGCAAAGAACAAACTGTGGTCAGCGAGTTTGAAACTATGTTGGCTATTGAAATAGCCCCAGCCTGTGGTGGTAGGTGGACATCGTTTTATAATTATTTTTCTTGTGGTCAGGCAAGGGCCAGAGTATCATACACATAGACACACAACATATACAACGTTACAGAGTATCATACAAAATAGACACAACATATTTAAAGTGACGGAATATCATATACATAGACATACCCTTTAACAGAAGGTGCAAAGTATTATATACACAACATATTCAAAGTGACAGAGTATCGTACACATTAATACACCGCACATACGAAGTATTGTTTAATGTTAAAGGTTTAGAAACTTAGCTCGGTCAGTTATACTGCACATTTCTAGATAGTGAGAAAGTATTGATGGATGTGTATAAGGTAAATACATGTAGGTTACTTGTTGGCGTATTTTGAATTTGTTTACATTTCAGTACATCTTCCAAGCTGTGACGACCGTCTGAAGATCTGCGAGGATACAGAACGTATCTTGGCATCTATCGACAACACGACCAAAAAGGCGGACTACTGCAAGTGGGTGCTTGACATTTTTACTTGATACAGAGAGGCGGTCATACGGACAGACGGATAGACTGAGAGACGGTCAGACGGATTGAAATCACAAAATGTCAAAATGATTTATACTACCTCTATGACGAGTGGATGGATGAGTGGATGGGTGGATGGGTGGATGGGTGGGTTGATGAATCGAGGTTATCTATTGTCGATGGATGAGTGGGTCAACACTGAAGCCAATTTATTTTATTTAGTTATCGTTCGAATAAAATACTGTGAATAAAATTACCATCATCTCTGTATCAAAATTTGGTTTATTCTCCAGACGAACCTTCCAAGGCATCAAGTGCTTTGATGACATCAGGAAAAACGCCACTTGTAAGATGGACCAAGTTCAGGTCAAAGGATGGGAGGCAACTCTAAAAAATGTTCTCGGACCATACTGTGGCAACGGTAGGTTCAGAGTAACTAACACATCGTCGTTCTTTGATCTCTGTATGTAGAGGTAAGGGTCCAAGTACAGCTCTATCCAGGACGGAGGGCTATTAAGGATGACGGAGAATTGTGTATTTTTTGCTACTGAAAATTGTGCAACAGTTCTATCATGCAGCACTGGTATCATTCAGTGGCTGCTGGGATGTGCGAGATGCTAATAACTTGAAATGTATTATATTTTTCTTTGGCTTTTTTCGCTTCTTTCGCTTTTGATCTTCGAATTTTTTTTAATGATTAGCAGCTGCGTGCCTGACAAATTTTCATTTAAATCAACCCGTTTTTTAGCGCAATTTCCATTCTGGAGAATTGCGATTATTAACTCGTCATTTCTGGGAATGGATGGATGTGTGTCCGCAGCTTAAGTCGTCTTTAAGTCGTATCTCCTCCTCAACGAAGCAATATCGAGGACTAGTTCCAAAAGCAAATATGTTAAGCAAGTTCCGAGGATGAACAAAGGCCAAAAAGAATTCCCGGAATTCCTTCCTGGATTTCCCGGAAAAGCCAAAAACCTCGAAAAAAAATGCAGTTTTTGGCCCATATCTCGGCAACCAGACCACTTAGCGACTTGAAACATTTACCAATCGATTCCTGTCATAATTTAGAACAATATTGCCGAAGAAAGTTTTTAAAAATATCCTTTCGTTCGGTCACAAAAAAATAATTTCTTCTAATTTGTATTTGTAACGTTAACCTATCTATCAGCCAAATAGAAGGAGAACGTCCCCGGATTCTTTTTTCGGGGTCATATGCAAATGCCTTACGGCCAAAGTGGATGAACACTTAACACAATGACCACTAGGGCTCGAATTTAATGTCTAGGGAAGCTAGTGATAATATTGTAATTAACACTCATCCAATCTACATACGACCTTTTAATCAGCGCACTCAGAAGTGGCAGAACACAAGGTTGAACTAAATAAAATATTTAATGTATAAAATATCAAAAACCCAACTTACACAATGTAGGAAAAAACACTATCACAGATTTCTACACTGTCTCAAGAACAGCTACAGGCCACACAACACTGCTGTAGCTTCAGGAATTACTTAGCGACAAGTAATATTAAACTAGAAGACTATATCACTTAAGAAAGCATGGCACACACAGGTCTTAAGTACTCTCACGTTCAAATGGTCAGAGTCTATAGCCGGACAATATGGACGGCTGTCTGATCAAGGTAAAACTGCCTCGTAGACTGCCTGATCAAGATAAACTGCCACGTGTTGCGAGTGTGCAGTGCAATTAAAGACTCCTGTGACAGGGGAGGTTATCCTCAACTCATGTCGCCATTGGTTGGGATAATCATCTGATCAGAATCATTCAATCAGATTTTAATGGAAAATTTCTATGTCTCGAACACCTTAATAAGTCAGTGGAAAAACCCCAGGTGTTACACCATCATTCCATATAAGGAATTATACAATGTCAAAATAAAAATGACTCGACCTAAGTAGGTCACATCCCCTCCCTTTTTGGAAGTGACAGATAGGTTCCACAAAAACATACATAGGGAGCCAATCTGGCAATGAAATAACAAAAATGTTTTACAAATGTAGGCAATCAAAATCATAATACCAGATGAAAATATCCCTGAACATAAAAGGGAAGTAACTCCAACTTTTACAATTGGTGAAAGGGGAGTAACCCTTCAAAAAGTAATTATACATCAAAATCCCTCAAAAAAGGGTATTACAATATTTCCATGAGGATATTAAAAGTGGTAAACCCGCCAGGGTAAGACCTTTATTTCAATGACTAGCTACAATATCAATTGAGTCATATGAGACATATTATTATAAAAGATTACATATAATCAAAAACCACCTTTAATTAAGGTTCACCTGAAAATAAACAAAATATTCAACAGGATTGGAATTTTGAAAAAAATTCAAAACTCACACCACTCATTTTCCTATGAGTGACACTCAAACAAAACCTGTTTATGGTCCTAATGAACCACAAAGCGTGTCACATGATCAATGTGTGTAACAAGATTTTACATCCTTGACAAACAATCAGCCACAACATTATCACTACCCTTAATGTGTGAAATTTCCAGATTAAAATTTTGGAAATATAAGCACCATCTCAATATTCTTTGATTTGTCTGTCCTAACTTAGAGGTAAATTTCAGGGGATCATGGTCAGAAAACACTCTGACTGGATTGGTTGAAGAAGAGACATAGACTTCAAAATGTTGTAATGATAAAACCAAAGCTAAAGCTTCTTTTTCAATGGTAGAATAATTCTTTTGGTTCTCATTTAACTTCCTGGAAAAAAAGGCAATGGGATGGTCAATTCCCATGTTGTCTTCTTGAAATAGGACTGAGCCAATGGCTAAGTTGCTAGCATCAATGGCAAGTTTAAAGGGCATGCTAAAATTTGGTGCAGCCATAACAGGAGCATTTGATAAAAATGACTTAATGGTTAAAAAGGCTTCTTGACATTTATTTGACCATTCAAACTCAACACCCTTTTTCAATAATGCAGTAAGAGGTTCAGCAATAGCTGAAAAGTTTTGACAGAACCGCCTATAGTAACCAGCCATCCCAAGGAACTTTTTGATCTCTTTACAATTTTTGGGAGGTGGCAACTTTACAATAGCATCTACTTTAGCTTCAATGGGCCGAACTTGGTTCGTTCCCACTTGATAACCCAAATAGGTAATTGAAGCTTTACAGAAATCACTTTTATGTAAGTTTACAGTAAAATTAACTTCAGACAATTTTCTAAAAAGGTTAGTCAATTGAACAATATGTTCTTCAAAAGTATTAGAAAATACAACTATATCATCTATGTAGGCCTCACATTGGTCTATGTCAGCAATGACAGAGTTAATGACTCTCTGGAAAGTTTGACCAGCATTTCGCATACCAAAAGGCATACGTTTGTATCTATAAAAACCATTAGGGGTTACAAAAGCAGATATTTCTTTTGCACGGTCAGATAAGGGGATTTGCCAGTATCCTGAAAGTAAATCAATTTTGGAAATTATCTTAGCTTGACCAACTTTATCAATAACGTCCTCTATCCGAGGTAAGGGATAGGAATCAGCTTTGGTGAGCGCATTCACCTTCCTAAAGTCGGTCACAAACCTGAAAGACCCACCGTCTTTCGGTACTAGGAGACATGGGGAACTCCAGTTGCTGAAACTGGGCTCAATGATATCATTCTTGAGCATATAATCAATTTCATCCTTTATCAAAGCAGCTTTTTCCGGGTTAACTCTATAGGGGTGTTGTTTAATGGGTTTTGCGTCACCAACGTCTACATCATGAGGTGGAACCTTCGCTTCTTTGGGGACATCCCCAAAGATAGAGGGAAATGTCTCAAATAACTGAGACAACCTATGGCTTTCCTCTGTGGACAAATGCATAAGGTGGACATTCAAATTATCTAAAAAGGAAGAATTTACCAATTTTGGGGGTTTCAATTTATCATGTATCACATCATCAGAAACATTTGAACATACAGGTAAAGTAATTTTAGCTGTGGATTGAAAATTGTTACAATTATCATAATACTTTTTCAGTGAGTTGACATGATACACTGTCTGTTTCTTTCTTCTGTCGGGCGTATTGACAACATAGTTCAAATCACTTAATTTTGAATGCACAGTAAAGGGTCCACAATATCTCAAGGATAACGCATTGTTCAGATTAGGCACTAACACAAGAACTTTGTCGCCTGGATTGAATGTTCGTTTACAAGAACTCTTATCATACAGTCCTTTCATTCTCACTTGGGCCTTTCTTAAGTTCTTGTGAGCCATTTCGCACACGGCTTTCAGTCGAACGTGAAAATCGTCGAAGTTTTCCACTGGATGATCACTGGTACCTGTCCAACGTTCGTGTATCAGCTTCAGGGGGCCACGGACAGAATGTCCAAACACAAGTTGAAAAGGCGAGTAGCCTAAAGAGTCCTGGACACAGTCCCTCGCGGCGAAAATAATCCAAGGAACAGACTCATCCCATTGGGTGTTACTGTTAGCGAATGTCCTTAGCATGGTTTTGAGGGTTTGGTGGAACCTCTCAAGTACGCCTTGAGACTGAGGGTGGTAGGCTGAGCTGGTGATGTGGGTAACGCCTAGCTTGGCTAGTGCTTCCTGAAAATGGTGACTGGTGAAGTTGCTGCCTTGATCTGTTTGCACGATTCTAGGTAATCCAAAGGTAGTGAAGAACCGGGTCATGGCTCTGACTACAGTCTTTGCCTTAATGTTCCGTAAGGGAATCGCCTCGGGAAAACGGGTACTTGAACACATAAAGGTAAGTAGGTACTCGTTGCCCGCCTTGGTTTTAGGCAAGGGACCTACACAGTCCATGACGATTTTAGAAAAAGGTTCTTCTAATACAGGAATCGGACTCAAAGGGGCCTTAGGAATTGTCTGGTTTGGCTTTCCGGCCAACTGACAGTTCGTGCAACTTCTACAGTAACGCGACACATCTTTTCTCATTTTGGGCCAAAAGAACAGTTCTTTGATCTTCGCCGTCGTTTTAGTGACACCTGGGTGCGCTGACATTGGATGGTCATGTGCCAGCTTAAGTATTTCATGCCGATAAGGTGGAGGGATCCACAGCTGGTTTTTACCCAACCATGGTTCGGCTGGTGAGGCATTCACTGGTATAGCGCGACGAAAGAAGAGGCCGTTCTCGGAGAAATATTCTCCATCGTCAGATGATAGAGATTTTTCGACCGTTGCTTTGAGTTCCGCGTCGACTTGTTGAGCTTTAATGATGTCTTCCTGAGATATTCTCAGGGGTAAGCCCAAGCTTGTGTTTTCTGGAAGCATAGACTCCAGTTTGGGAGTCGAATTTCTTGACGATGACGGCGGGTGTGGTTCAGACGTTGTCTCAGCCAATTGTTTGGTCTGGCTTCTTGTCACCGCACATGCAGGATACAGTTCATAATCATTATCTGGAACTGTTGACAAAGGGTCTGAAACCGTACAGGGGTATACTTTGCTTCCCGCAAGGTCATTTCCTAGAAGTAGGTGTACTCCTGGGACAGGAATACTATCTATCACACCTAAAATGACCTCACCTTCGACGAGATGATGTTTCAGGGCAAACTTGTGTAGAGGGACGACAGTAGATTTTGTCCCCACTCCCTGGATAATGGAAATCCTTCCGGTGTTCGTCTCTGGTGTAATGTCCATTGAACTTTTCAAAAGGAGTGATTGTGACGCTCCTGTGTCTCTTAGAACGGTGATATTCTTCTGAGACAACGGATCACCTGGTTTGCTAATGATGGCTTCGGCAATAAACGATGAAAAGTCAACTTTTCTCGATCCCTCGAGATCGGTAGACTCGGCAGAAACTGGATGGTGGCGAGAACAGTCAAAATGTGACTGCACATAATGTGTGGAGACTTGACTACCTTCTTGCGGACACTTAGGGTTAGAGTCCTTTAGAATTCTAGAGTTCATAGTTGAACTGGCTGCTTGAGGGGACAGAGCGTAGTGCGCAGAAGTACGCACCACCTCTCTGTTATTCTGAAGACGTTTGTAACAGTCCTTGACATGGTGACCAGGCCTTTTGCAGAACTGGCATACTGCTCGACGATTGAGAGTTGATCTTGGTTTCTCTCTGGACTGTGATGTCTTCAAATGTTGGCCAACAGGAGGATTGCTGCCAAAAAGAGGAAGCACGGGGTTGAGGCGGTTTCCTGACACTGGTGGTTTCTTATGCACCAACATATATGTGTCAGCCGACTCAGCAGCCTTCTGGATGTCAGTTATCTTGTTATCCAGTATGTGTAGTCGTATCTCTTCAGGCAGAGACGATAGGAATTCTTCCCTTAGGATAAGAGACCTGAGTTTCTCAAACTCAGAAACTTCCTCAGAGTGTAGCCACCTTGAGAATATTTTCTCCTTTTCAAAGAGAAATTCCACATATGATTGTGTGGGTAACTTGCGGAGTGTTCGGAATTTTGTCCGATAGGCCTCGGGCGTCAGTGCGTAGGCCTTTAAAATGGCAGTCTTGACCAAACTATAGTTATTTTGAACGTCGTGAGAGAGTGCCTGGTATGTTTTAGCAGCTTTCCCAGTAAGGACAGAGCTCAATAAAGCAGTAATGGAAGTTTCGGGCCATTCACATGTCTTCGCTAAACTCTCAAACGAGTTAAAGAAAACGACCAAATCTGTTTCATCAAATTTAGGAACTAATTTCCCAAATTTGGCAATCACTTGCCCTACCGACAACTTTTTTGGATCTACCTGAGAAGTGACATCACTAACTTGACCAAACTCTAATTCCAACCTCCTCTTATCTAAAGCAATTTTAGCCTCTAACTCCTGTTTCTCTAGAGCACTTCTAGTTTCAAACTCCTTTTCTTTTAAAGCCTTCTCTAAAGCAATTCTAGCTTCTAATTCTATCTTCTCTAGAGGTTTCTCCTCGCGGAGCAACACACCAGCCAACAAGCTTTCATCAAATACCCCTTCATTAATAAAATGAACAACAACTTTATCTCTCAACACCTCTGACTTCTGCGTAACAGAATAATCCAATTTCAATTCCTTAACAACACTAATCAAAACTTTTCTACTCAACTTTTCTACACCTTCAAAAGTAGGATTAGCCAAAAAAGACTCCATAACACTAACTTTCAAATCACAACAAGCCTAGATCCTTTAAATTAATACACAGCGTTGGGCCGTGTACTTGACCTCTAAATGTAGGACGTGACACGTCTGCTTATTTGACCTAGATAGTGATACTCTAGCCTGAGCGCGCGTTGTAAGAACACTGCGCTACTGGATATAAAAACAACTAAATCCAACTAACCTTAGTATTCAACTGATATAACCAACAACTGGAACGACAGATTAAATCTCGGCGAGCTCCCACTTTGTAACGTTAACCTATCTATCAGCCAAATAGAAGGAGAACGTCCCCGGATTCTTTTTTCGGGGTCATATGCAAATGCCTTACGGCCAAAGTGGATGAACACTTAACACAATGACCACTAGGGCTCGAATTTAATGTCTAGGGAAGCTAGTGATAATATTGTAATTAACACTCATCCAATCTACATACGACCTTTTAATCAGCGCACTCAGAAGTGGCAGAACACAAGGTTGAACTAAATAAAATATTTAATGTATAAAATATCAAAAACCCAACTTACACAATGTAGGAAAAAACACTATCACAGATTTCTACACTGTCTCAAGAACAGCTACAGGCCACACAACACTGCTGTAGCTTCAGGAATTACTTAGCGACAAGTAATATTAAACTAGAAGACTATATCACTTAAGAAAGCATGGCACACACAGGTCTTAAGTACTCTCACGTTCAAATGGTCAGAGTCTATAGCCGGACAATATGGACGGCTGTCTGATCAAGGTAAAACTGCCTCGTAGACTGCCTGATCAAGATAAACTGCCACGTGTTGCGAGTGTGCAGTGCAATTAAAGACTCCTGTGACAGGGGAGGTTATCCTCAACTCATGTCGCCATTGGTTGGGATAATCATCTGATCAGAATCATTCAATCAGATTTTAATGGAAAATTTCTATGTCTCGAACACCTTAATAAGTCAGTGGAAAAACCCCAGGTGTTACACCATCATTCCATATAAGGAATTATACAATGTCAAAATAAAAATGACTCGACCTAAGTAGGTCACAGTATTGGCTAAGATAACTAAGAATATACAAATATTTCTACCACCCAAACCAAGCACACCGGCTGAGGCAGTCGCTAGTGAGAGGTAACGTCTACACACGCTGTCATTGGCCAGGGACTAGCTCTGCTCGTGTGGTTTAAACTGAGCATCGTGTAGGAGTTATTATTTATAGGATGATTTACTTATTAACATAAGGAAATTGCGCTTAAATTGTCACTAGACTTTTTATTAACTTGTTTTTCTAAAGACTTAAATCTAAACGCGTGATGTTTCCTTTATTTCTGAAGGCAATAAAACTTCTCTTATAAATTTTTTTATTTATTTGTACTAAAAAACGAATTTCTTTTTCTATCTCATAGGTGGCGCTACAGTCCATATCTCCATCGCTCTTCTCATCACAACATTGTATCTAGCTTTAAAGGCCTTCAACTTGGACAGAAGTTGAAATATCACAGAGCTTATTTTCCCTACAAATTGTCTGTAACATAGTTCATTCGTATAAATGTAGAGTAAATAAAAATAAATTACTCCTTTAATTATAGAGTTAATAGTTAGACCAGTCCCCATAATTGAAGAGTTATTAATCAAATTACTCCAATAGTTGTAGTTATTTATTTAAATATAGAGTAGATCACAGTACGTTTTATCTTTTATTTCGTTTCATCAAAATGTTCCAACATTCGGCCTTCAAAAGAAAAAAACTTGTACATGTGTTGGGCGAGGGGTATTTTGATTGGTGGTAGTGCTACATGGTGAAAGTGTTTGGTGGTGGATTTGATGGTCAGGTTGTTGTAACAACAAAAATTATACCTAGCCTTAAACAAAGTGGTTGATTTGTTAATTGCGTGTCCCTTGTATTCCTGGTCCTTATTTTAATCAACTGAAATTTAAAAGTGTACATTAAATGAGTAATTGAATGTTGAATGTGCTATATGTGGGCGGCACTGGTTGTCGAAAGAATTTAAAGTGTCAAACAAGAGTGTTAGAGATAGATGACGTGTGTCTTGTGTGAATGGATGAAGTTTTTTTTTTTACAGATTACATTAACTAATGTAATTTTGTTTGTCATAAACGCTGGAAAAAATAATCATGTATTTAGAGATAGTCAAACGATAATGTCCCGAGAGCATATGATACAATTAAACTAGAAACAAAATAAAACAATATTTAGCTTTGTTGTTTTTTAATCCTTTTTTATTACATAATACATTTTACAGACTTAGAAGGAGTGAAAGAATAATCTTAAATAAATCTTAAATAAAACAAATAATAAACACTCTCTCAATATTATGTTCTGCTTGACTTCACACAAAAGTTTATGTTATGTATATTTTCCGGACGATTTAAAACACACACTCTTCAGTTCAGCTAAACTACCTGATTTGTATCTGTGATGGATACATATTAAATTGAAAAGAAAAATATTGATATACAATACTATTATTTATGCACTAAAAAGACGAATTAGCATGGTTTAAAATATAATAATGATCTACCACTTATATAACTATAACGAAAAGCTGGATGTCTAAATTGTGTATTAGAATAACTTGGTAAATTCGTAGGCACGTCTCTAAATCTAGTATACTTTGAACGAAAGCATGACCTAGTTAGACCATGTCGTTGTTTATTTCTACCAAGCGGCCACTAAAAAAGCAAATTTATTTTAGAATTAAAAAAAAATTGTATAGTTACTGATAACATTTCAAAGAACAGGTGTAAAATGACACAATCTTCTTTTATTATCACATATTTTAATAACACTGCATTCGATAGAAAAAATATCTAAAAGTTCTCTCATCTATCTATCTATCTATATAATACTAAAACTCAACTTTGTTTACATGTTTGAATATTTTTTTGTTTTTGTTTTGTTTTGTTTGTCTGATTGACTACTGTAGAGGATCTGCGTTACGTCGAGAACTGTAAAATAGTATGTAGGTAGAAAAATTTTTTTGTTTTCAGACAGACTGTTAATAACACATTTATTTAAAGACGTTAATTAATTTATTGATTTATTCATAGGTAGATTAACCACATTAATTTTAAATTTTTCAAACAATGGCTTAACTTTGACTGAATAGTGATGTCACATGGATTGTTTACTTTTTAGTACAATAAAATGGCAGCTTCAATCATAGACTTTGTGGCCCATTCAAAAGTTTAACGCGTTCTAAAGCTAATTTTCTGTCGGCTATAACTTTAACAATACGTCCGTTTATTGTTTTTATTACGTTCTAACACTTATATAAATTTTCAACTGTCTTTTTTATTTAGTTTTATAATAAATTTATCTAGCTCTATAGTATGTTCAAGAAAGTCATCTATTTATTTATAGATCTAAATATCAGGTGTCCAAGAAAGTTATTTATAGGACTAGATCTACAATCTAGGTCAAACCAAAGATTAATTAGATACAAACCAAAGATTAATTAAATAAAAATAAAATCCATTTTAAAATCATAATACATTTTTTCAGTCCTTAAATAAATACTTGATATAAATCTTTATGATTTATCTATCTAGAATCTAGAATAGGTCTAATGATAGTCTAATCTAGATCTAGCAAGAGTTACGCAAAAACTAGTCTTAAGACTTAAGCAAAACTTAAGCAATTCTATCTAGATCTAGATAATTTCAGACCTTCATTATATTATATAAATCTTTGTTTCTTTAGCTATGTAATTGGCTAATTTAAGATAAAATTTAATTTGAAGGTTACTACTACTAGAATTAGATCTAGATCTATGCGCGTAAATCAAGCTGCATAAGGAGACTCAAAGTATTATACTATAGGATAAAATAAACCGGGAGTGATCTCCCCTAAACTTTCTCGAATATTCTTATATAAAATAACGGGATGGGAAGTCGGGCTATAGATATGATTTTTAATTCATTTTAAATACTTAAAGTTTTAAAAATAGAATAAAATCTGGTAGACAAAAGATTGCACACCAAGTGAACGCCAAATAAAAAAGTGCATAATAATGCGCAATATTATTAGTACTTTAAAAATTTACATTAGTTTTTCGAGAAATCGGAAGTAGTGTAAATTAGTACTTCCGGGCAACGGAAATTACTCAAAATTTGATAGAAGATAGAGAATTAGATCTTATACTTACATGTGAAATTTCATTTATCTATCTGAAATAGTACTCAAGTTATAGGCTTTTGAAAAATTCAAAGTAGAAAAAGTACCACTTCTGGTTATCGGAAATCGCTCAAAAGTTGATACGGATCTACGATTTTGATAAAATACTTATATATAAAATTTCATCAACCTAGCTGTAACGATACTCAAGTTATCGTGTTTACACACGGAGAGACAGACAGACACACAGACATACGGACAGAATTGCAAAGCCCAGTTTTTCAGACTGGATTACGCATAAAACCTCTTAATTTTGATAAATCTGGATTGATAATTTTTGCCCGATTAAAATAAGTCCTCTATACTTCGGATGTGATGAAGGACTGAGGTGTAATACGGTGAAAATTGTTAAAATTTCAAGTGATTTTTGTGCACGATTACAATACTTTCTCTAAACTTCGTATATACGAGAAAGTAAAAAACATCAGTGACGTCACGAGTCTAAAAAGCTAAGATGTTAGTGTAATAGGCTTTCATGCGGGTGGCACGGGTTCAAGACACATCTCGTCAATGTTAATTTTTTTTCATTTTATTTTTATTTTTTAGATGTGAATGATAAAGTTGCCTATCTGAATTCGCTTGATACACGTCAGGTGAAGTGGAGTTCATCTGTTTCTTTGTCCTAAGCATATGAAGAGATAGTGTGGCCGGAATCGTTTTTTTAAACGATAAAAACATGTTTTCTGAGACTTGGCGGGACACTGGGCAGGTGAAATAGAGTTGAGTAGGTCACCTGTGACGTCAGTATATGAAGGGATAGTCCAAAATCGGTGTTTTTAAAAGATAAAAAACATCTTTTTGAATGTAGGGTCTGGTTTTTTGTGACGATAAGTGACAGACGTGATGTTTTTTTATGGATGACCCCCGAAACCCACAGTTATCCAAGGGATGACAGGGTAAGTCTAGTATACTACTAAAACTCAACTCTGTTTACATGTTTGAATATTTATTTGTTTGTTTGTCCGATTGACTACTGTAGAAAATCTGCGCTATGTGTAGAGCTGTAAAATAGTAATTAGGTAGAAAACAATTTTTGTTTTCAGACAGGCTGTTAATCACACACATTTTTTAAAGAAGTTAATTAATTTATTGATTTATTCATTGGTAGATTAACCACATTAATTTTAAAAGGGTAAAACATTGGCTTTACTTTGAAAAAATAGTGACGTCACATGATTTGTTTACTTTTTAGTACAATAAAATGGCGGCTTCCATCATAGACTTTGTGGCCCATTCAAAAGTTTAACGTGTTCTAAAGCTAATTTTCTGTCGGCTATAACTTTAACAATACGTCCGTTTGCTGTATTTATTACGTTCCAACACTTATATCAATTTTCAACTGTCTTTTTCATTTAGGATTACAATAAATTTCTCTAGCTATACAGATCAGCTGTTGAAGGAAGAACAAGTTATGAATCTCGATCTCGATCTCGATCTAGAATCTAGGTCACTAGACTTTACGTAAATTCTAGATCTAGACTTAATGTAAATTCTACATCTAGAATCTATTTTAGGCCTTAATTATTTTATACAAATCTTTGTTTAGCTTTAATGACCATCTAATTCCAGAATACATGGGATTTATCTATCTAGGTTCTAGATCTAGATATAGTAGGATTACTCACTAACATGGAGGCGTGGTCGGTTGTTAACAACAGTGGCGTCCGGACTGGACGCATGACTTCCGACCATTTTTAGGCCATGTTTACCACGAGCAAAATGGTGGGTTTTCACGTTATATAAACATGCTATAGGTGGCCAGGGCTAGATATGCCAGAAAAGCATTTTAAAATTTGCTTTGGAGAATGAAGGCTAAATTTTGAAGTCGGTGTCATTAAAATTAATAGAACTTTTAAAAGCTCACATGTGACATCAGTATATGAAGGGATAGTGTGGTCAGACCCATGCTCAGCCGAAATCGGTGTTTTTAAAAGATAAAAAACGTCTTTTTGAATGTGGGGTCTGGTTATTTTGTGATAAGTGACAGACGTGATGTCATTTTTAGATGACCCCCGAAACCCACAGTTATCCAAGGGATGACCGGGTAAGTCTAGTTGTCCTTAAAGATTAAATACAAAAAGAAGAAATAACCATGCGGAAATAAACTCTTGAAAAATTATGAGCTGTTGACAGCTAATGCGCATAAATGATTTTTGTGGAAATGACTACACCAAATAAAACAACATTGAATTGATTGTGTTGTTTCCTTGCTTAAATTTATAAAATCAATTTAAATATTAGTAGCACACAGTAAGAAAAAATAATGAAAAAATAATGCGACCTTATTTAAAGAAATTTATTGGTGTATATAGACGGAAGCAAACGACGTTCCCATGAGGCTGCTGTTATTGCTAATGCTCCAATGGACATTTACGAGGACCTGCAAGAGGTTCTGAAAACCAACATGATGGATTATGTCGGGGAGTAAGAGAGGTAACCAAAGCACTTAACAAACGATATTATTGTGTCCAGGCCAACATTATAGATGAACCTTGATACTTATAAACACGCCCCTTGTGCTGGAAACGTCATCAATCTCCTTAGCTTGATGATGCCAAAAATTTTTGGCGAAAGGGCTGGTCTATGTAAACTGGACAAAGAAGGCAAAGCAAGGAAGGTCAGTGCTTGTGGAGCCGCAGTTGTTGAGGACTACGGTGAGTCACAAGCACTTGAAGTCGTGAGGGAATAATATCAAGTGAATGATATCAACAATTGGGATTCAATATAAAACTAGATCTCTTTAAAAAATACGACACAAATAAATCTATGCAAACATTCAGAAATATATATTTTATATTATGTGACACATTTTTATTTCACAATGTAATTTACTATTGTTAAAATGTAAGCAACCGTCTTTGTAATCAAGCAAACATGCAAACATTGACCTACTAAAGCTAATTTTGTTTATCTAACTTTGATAGAAATAGAATTTGTTTTCTTATTTCATTCAAAGTCTGAGATTCTAAATTCTAAATATAGAACATGTTTTTATCCAATCAAACTGGAGATGAGTGAGTGCAGTAGCATCCAGCACGACAACTCTATCAGTAGTAGAAAACCAGTGTGAGTAGTCGTTCCTGGGGAGAGATTATTTTCCATTACAGAGGTCACGTGATAGCGTATTATAAATAGATGCGTTATTATTACCCAGTTACTGTAGTAACGTGTCTTACACATAGATCTATCAGCTAGGTTAAAGTTGCTAGCTCTAACAAGTTTGGCTTTTAGTGAGACCGGCGTCAATATTTTGTTGTTTTCCCAGAGAGGCACCACTGCAGAGTGTATGGGATAAGGTGCAGTAGTTGTTATTTTCTACATCTTTGTAAATTATTTAACTGACATTACTTTGGTATGATGTGGTCAAATCGTAAAGCGTTCGATTGCCCTCGAGTTTTGATCCAAGGCTCGAGACCGTTCGACGCACCGGACTCCAGCCAGCTCTGATGTGTACCTGACTCCAGCCAGCTCTGATGGGTACCTGACTCCACCCAGCTCTGATGTGTACCCAGCTCTGGTTATAGAAAACCTGATTTCTATTCCACCCTCCCCATGGCCCATACGGTTCGAAACTGTACACAGCTGACGTAAATTAATGGAAAAAGATAATCCAATAACCATTGTTTTCGCAGGCCTTAGCTCAGACATATTTCAACTTAGATTTATAAATGACCACGTGACACTACCTGTCCCACATGAAGGTTTGATGATTGCCCCGAGTTTCCTCTCAAACTCCAGAATATTTTCATCATCTAGTTCACAGGCTGGGTCCTGTCTCAGCTCTTTAAAACATTCCAGTCCAACATACACACGTCTTACAGAAGGAAATAGATTAGACGATCAAAAATATAGTTTTTGAGAGAGGATGAAATTCCGTATTTAATTTTTAATTTACTCTATATGACATCTACTAACTTGCAAAACACTGCTGTCTGGGTCAAGGTGATTACTTGACATCTACATGACATCCACTCACCTGTCAATGTACATGACATCCACTCACCTGCCAATGTACATGACATCCACTCACCTGTCAATGTACATGACATCCACTCACCTGTCAATGTACATGACATCCACTAACCTGCCAATGTACATGACATCCACTAACCTGCAAAACTCTGCTGCCTGCGTAATGTTGTTCACTCGTGAAAGAAAATATTCCGCGGACGAGCAGAGACTGAATCTATCGCTGCATGAGCCAACTTCTGGGTCTAGAGAAATAATTTATTTACATAGTTCAGCATTGTATGGTACAGACGTGCGTCAGCGTATGTCAAATATCAACTTTCATTAACTCCGCACAGTTAATTGTCTACACTAACCCACACTGACTACAGCAACAACAACACCCCTCTCTGCACACCGAAGTCAGTAACCCACACTAAAAATTAAGAACGAAGAAGAAAAAGAAGCAACCCACACTAACTCAAACCAGCGCCCCCACTCATAGTTCATACAACACCTACATGCCACGCCTACCAACCACACCTACATACCACGCCAACATACCACGCCTACATGCCACGCCTACCAACCACGCCTACCTGCACATACTGCAGCCATATCTTTAGCAACAGCGTTCATCATCTTAGTGACCACCGTGTTTAGTCTCCCGCAGACCATATCCAGTCTCACCACGTCCAAACACGCTAACACACCATTTACGGCGCTATCAGAAAAGAATAAATACATATATTTTTGTCTTTTAATTTACCAACGTTGTATACACCCAGAGATAACATTCAATTTCTATTTTTACACGGAAAACGTTTATTTTAATTCCTACCGGCAGTACTCTGGTCTCTGAGATGTTTTGTTTACCTCTCCCAGCCTTATGCTACAAATCCTAATCCGGTCCAAACAAGACCCCGTTAATCCTTAAAATAAAAAAAAACAAATTATAATTTAAAAAAAATATTAAGTGTAGGCTAGTCTCCGATAATTATGATGTGCTTGCATTTAATCTAATATACAAAGCTCAAATGGATTATGTGCCACTGTATGAAGCGTGAAACTCATGCATATAGTAAAATACTCGACATGATCGCCATAATGCTATTTGGCGCTCCGGGCCTTCTCGTGACCGCTATGGCGCCTACGTTCGTTTATACAGCGCCATAGACTATGGATAGACTATGGATATGAAAAGTTATTATAGTCTTTCACTAAATTGAATCCAGGGCGTCCTCTGGCGCCTCGACTGAGTGCTATTTGGCGCTCCCGTGAGCGATATAGTGCTTACATTCGTTTAAGTGAGAGCAAATAAATATGGCTACGTTGGGGTATGCTAGTCGTTTACTAAGTTGAATCAGGCAGTTCCGCAGGCGCCCCGGCAGGGTGAGATTTGGCGCCCCGGGCTTGACTGTGAGCACTATGCGTTTATGTTTGCGATTAAGTTTGCGTTTATGTTCGTGTTTACTTTTGCATTATTTTGAATTATTGTTTGCGTTTAGGTTTGCGTTTGTGTTTCTATTTGTGTATGCGTTTGTGTTGTCGTTTGCTTTTGTGTTTGCGTTTGTGTTTGCGTTATAATTGCGTTTGTGTTTTGGTTCTGGTTGGTTGTGGTTAGGGTTTATTCGAAAAGTAATATATTTCCAAACCCGGGCAATGCCGTGTATATGCTGCTTACTAAACACACACGTCATTTTCCTATACAGATAGGTTTTTCCACTAAGGCCAGTGCAGGTCCTTGCCGGTACGGCTAGTACTCCATATATCCCTAAAGTTAACAAAGGCAATGCCTTGTTTGACTTTGACCCTAAGCCTAGCCCATATCTAAATATATAGTCCCGTCAGTGTTTTATTAGAACAAGGGTCATCAATGTCCAAAGTATTAATAATATTAATACTTTGGATAAATATCCATGGTGTTAGTGTGGAAGAGCGAATGTCAAGGGTTTTTAATGTCAAGGTGTTAAAAATCTACAACTGTCAGATTATTTTTAAACTAATTATTTTGTTAACATTGAAGTAAAATATTTGTCACCGTAGTTCCATGTCGTGTTTCAAAAAATAACGGAACGTGTGTGGTAGACTCACCACACGTCTGCTGTGTGGCTGCCACTTGAATCTGTGCCCTCAGTCTGTTCAACATAGCACCCTCAGATTCCTGACACTGTAAACTATACGTACATTCTAGAAACTCGGCCCAGAGACTGAAAGAATTTAGTTTATCACCAAAATAGACGCAGATGTATCATAAAAATAAATTATTTCAGTGAGAAACAATACAACTAAAATAAAAAGTTGAAATTTGGAGTTAAAAAAAAACAAAAACTACTCACTCGCAATACCGAGAATTGTTGGTTTCTAGTGACGTCATAAAATGGACTTTGCACTGTTCCAGACTGGTCAAACAGGAGCTGGGTTGGCCATTGGTAGCTGAGTGTACAACATCAGCAATTAGCTTATCGAGCATTTGTTTGACCAGCATTTTAAAAAACTTTTCTCACACCCATACAGTTAAAGTTTTGAGTATATTAAAATATTACTGAACTTGAGTAGCGTTTGTATGTGTATGTATCTTTTTAAGCTTTTGTTTTTATAAGTATAATTTTCTAAAACGTTTTAGATATAAACATCATGGGGACAGCTGCATAAATGTGAGGATTACATTATATATATATATATATATATATATATATATATATATATATATATATATATATATATATATATATATATATATATATAACAAGCATCGTAGTTGTTGTTAAAGTTTGGCAAGTACAATATTACTCCTATATTTGGTGTGTGATGCTTCAAAATATTTTAAAAATCAGAGTGTCGCTTACTGCAGTATTTAGAGAAGTAGTTTAGCTGACTGTTCAGAATGTGGGAGACCAACTGTGTTTTTCCTTCACAATCTCCAGACCTCAGATCTCTAATGTTTATCATACAACGGCGAGATTCATGGGCCTGGCTGCAGTAAAATAGAGAAATTATACAAGTAAAAATGATTAAAATCAGGTAGCTGACAGTTAGCACATTCGTATATACTACAAGTGACGGTCAACACTGTTATGTGACTACAGGTGACAGTGGCACATTCTTGTGGACTAAATGTGACATTTGTCAGATTTTACTAGTGATATTTAGCACATTCATGTGGACTAAAATAACATTTAGCACATTCAAGTTGATTATGAGTTTACATTTACTACAGGTGACATTTAGCACATTTATGCGTACTACCTGTGACATTTAGCACATTTATGTGTACTACCTGTGACATTTAGCACATTCAAATTGATCATGAAGTGACATTGGTAATAAGAAGGAGCATATAGAAGAAGTCTCAACGCAGATACACAAGTTTTACCAACAACTAGCAACAAATAGAATAATTCACGACTCACACACAAACGTCCGTCCAGTTGATGATGTTGATGGGGTTGAGTGTCACGTTAAGCAGGGATGTGCTAGAACACCTGGTCAACAGGTCACCACACTGGCTGTCTGCAGGTGAGAAATGTCGTGCTTACACGAACTCACAACACTTTAAACATATCTTTTTCTGCCTTAACTGTATGCAAGTGAAAAGTGTCGTGGTTAAATGAACTCACATCACCATTAACATATCTTTTTTTCTGCCTTAACTTAAATCGTGTTGTGGGTGCATCTTCTGCGCTTTGTGTATATCTCTATACCACTAAAACTCAACTTTGTTTACATGTTTGAATATTTATTTGTTTTTCTGATTTACTACTGGAGAGAATCTGCCATATATATAGACATGTAAAATAGTATGTAGGTAGAGAACAATATTTCTTTTCAGAGAGACTGTTAATCACAAATTTATTTAAAGACGTTAATTAATTAATTAATTTATTCATTGGTAGATTAACCACATTAATTTTAAAAGTTTCAAACAATAGCTTTATTTTGAGTGAATAGTGTCGTCACATTATTTGTTTACTTTTTAGTACAATAAAATGGCAGCTTCTATCGAAGAAGATTGTGTTCCCATTCCAATGTTTAACGCGTTCTAAAGCTCATTTTCTGTCGGCTATAACTTTAACAATACGTCCGTTTGCTGCATTTATTACGTTCCAACACTTATATCAATTTTCAACTGTCTTTTTCATTTAGTGTTACAATAAATTTCTCTAGCTCTACAATCTGTCCAAGAAAGTTATTTATAGATCTAAATATCAGGTGGCCAAGAAAGTTATTTATAGATCTAGATGTTGAATCTAGGTCAAACCAAAGATTAATTAGATATAAACCAAAACCAAAGATTAATTAGATAAAAATACAATCCATTTTATAATCATAATACATTTTTAAAACCTTAAATACTTGATATAAATCTTTGAGATTTATCTATCTATATCTAGATCTATCTAGAATAGGTCTAATCTAGATCTAGCAAGACTTAAGACTTAAGCAAACGAGTCGTAGAATCTAGATCTAGATAATTCTATCTAGATCTATCTAGATAATTCTATCTAGATCTAGATAATTTCAGACCTTCATTATTTTATATAAATCTTTGTTTGTTTAGCTATTAATTGGCTAATCTATATACTACTAAAACTCAAGTTTGTTTACATGTTTAAATATTTATTTGTTTGTTTGTCTGATTTGGTACTGTAAGGAAACTGCTCTATATGGGGAAGGGGCTGTAAAATAGTATGTAGGTAGAGAACAATTTTTGATTGCAGACAGACTGTTAATCACACATTTATTTAAAGACGTTAATTAATTTATTGATTTATTCATAGGTAGATTAACCACATTACTTTTAAAGTTTTAGAACAATGGCTTTACTTTGACTGAATAGTGACGTTTGATAACTCATTTTTTTTTGTTTTTTTTTATTTGTTATTGGGGAGAATCTGCATTAAGTGTAGAGCTGTAAAATAGGATTTTGGGTGGTAAATATTGTTCTTTTTTAAACACACTGTTACTTACAAACTAATTTAAAGCCGTTAATTAATTTATTGATATATTCATTGGTAGATTAACCATATTAATTATAAAAGTTTAGAAAAATGACTTTAGTAATAGTAATATTAAGATGGTTTATTATCTTTTTACAACAATGGTTTCAATTATTTTTTCTTAAGCCCTATATGTGAATGATAAGGTTGACTATCAGGACCTCGCGGGGCACAGGGCAGGTGAAGTAGAGTTCACCTGTTTCTATGTTCTCAGCATATGAAGGGATAGTGTGGTCAGAGCCATGCTCGGCCGGAATCGTTTTTTTTTAATACAACATGTCTGAGACTTGGCGGGGCATTGGGCAGGTGAAGTAGAGTTTAGTAGAGTTCTTAGAATATAAAATGCGTCTTTTTGAATGTGGGGTCTGGTTATTTTGGGATAACTTAAAAAACCTTCTAATTAATTGTCTTTTTGAAAAAAAAATTACATACATAGCAGGCTTTTGAAAATACTGTTAGAAACATTATTAAAAATATCTTTTTTAAATTATTAGAGGTGTTCCCCAGATACTTCCACCAAACATTCCGTCCCTTTAAGATTATTCAAAAGCTTCATCATTCGACGCTGCACATAGATCTTTAATGTTGATGTTGTAAATGCACATACCGCACCCATCAAGCAAGGCATCTCCTTTAAACTTTGTCACAATGTTGTCTATCAATGCGGGCAGACAGGTGCTGTTGCTCCTCAATGCTCCGGTACAAAGGGACAGCTGAGACCAAGCGCTGAAAACATAAACAAACGGTACGGCACTTGTGACACGACTTAGTCTACGAGACGGGTATAGAGAGATCCTACAAGGGGACGACAAGGTCAGCACTGAAAACATAAACCAACGGTTGTGACACGATGAAGTCAGTCCCCTTATATATATATAAGGGGACGACAAGGTGTGGCGGGTTAGCTCATCTTGCTAGCCTGAAAGTTCCGAGTTCGGACCTCAGTGCAGATGAGACAAGTTACCTGGGGACAGCACCAATCTAGGAGAAAAAACTTCGAAAACAAAACAACTGCTGACTTGTAGATTGTTCTGGAATTGAGAAGACTATGGAAGCAAATTCAATAGAAAAAAAGCAGGGTGAGGGAGTAAATGAGCCAATAGGCAATACCAAGTTAACACAAAATAATTAATTATATTGGAAGAAATTCACTCAAATAAAATAATTAAACTAGCAATGCAAAGTGACCCTGGGTAAAATATGTTTGATGATTCATCCTACACACTCACATATATAGAATAAATAACAAGCTGTCCAAATTTTTTAACTTGAATTATCTATATCTTAAAAAATGTACAAAAGTAAAGAATGAAATAAAAAGCTGCAGAGACAGCATATATCAAAAGAACGAAATATTTTGTAGCATTTGTTTAAAATTTACGAAGAGTAGTTAGTCATAGAAACATTGAAAACATTTCCCGTAGGATAATGTTTCTTTTATATAGTTTTCAAGCCTTTAGCCAGACACAACGGGGAGATCCAAGCATGATTGAGGGATTGGATTTGTTGGCTACTAGTGGAGATCATGATTTTTAAAGCAATTATTTAATGACTTAGTTTTAAAACAACTAGCATGGATATGTAAAACTGAATTCACTTTTAGCAATGTACCAAATTGGTTAATTTACTTATAAGATAGATTAGTTATGTGGTTTCTCTTTTTGAAAAATAAATACTCATTCCATTTTAATATCTAAAAGCTTACTAATATCTCAATCACACTGAACGACAACTAACATCTTTAACAAAAAAAAAAAACCAACAAAAAAATAATAAAGGGGGGGGGGGGGGGAGAGAACTATAATTTTTAATATAAGGGTGACAACAACTATTTTAAAGCGACAACTGACATCGTTAACATGATGGGGACAACTAACATAAGGGCGACAACTAAAATAAGGGCAATAATTAAAATAATGTAACAACCAACATAAGGGTGACAAATAACATAAGGGCGACAACTAAAATAAGGGCAATAATTAAAATAATGTAACAACCAACATAAGAGTGACAAATAACATAAGGGTGACAACTAAAATTAGGGCGACAACTAACACCACCCAATGACAACTCACAGGCAAGCAAGTTTGGCACCAGAGACTCTAAAGTCTTCGAGGATGGTTCTCACATCCGCCACACAAGACTCCGCCAACTCACCACATGTGGTTACCCGTCCAGTTGAATCTGACGAAATTATTATTTTTTAATTTGTATCTTAAAATATAATGGTTAACGCTTATTATAAATGGCGAGTAAAATTAAAGATTGACTTTTACTTTTAGGAAAACATTCATATTCTTTACCGGACTTTTTTTCCGAGAGGGGGGGGGTGGGGGTGGGGGTGGTACTTGATATTTCGGGGAGAGGGGAGGAGGAGGGCGGACACTATAAAAAGTTTATGTTTTCTATATAAATTCCATTTCGTTCGGGGGAGGGGGGGGGGGGGGTTGTAGACTTTCTTTGGGGGAAGAGATGCCTGGAAGAACTCTGTTTACTTTAGCCGTCGTTTGACTATGGTGACAACTGATTAAATTTTACCACACTATCCCAGCCCAGATTGACAACTAAACTTTACCACACACTCCCAAAGTGAGGTTTTCCACCGACGTTCTCCAAGTTTGAATCTCATTAAAGCTGTCAGTGCATGGGATTTTGTTGAAGCAATAAACTGCATCTCTGTAAACTCTAGCAACATATATATATATATATATATATATATATATATATATATATATATATATATATATATATATATATATATATATATATATATATATATATATATATAATTATGTAAATCAATCAATCGATCAATCAATCAATCGATCGATCGATCAATCAATCAATCAATCAATCAATCAATCAATCAATCAATCAATCAATCAATCAATCAATCAATCAATCAATCAATCAATCAATCAATCAATCAATCAATCAATCAATCAATCAATCAACAAATCAATCAATCAATCAATCAATTGATTGATTAATAGATAAATAAATAAATAAATAAATAAGTAAATAAATAAGTAAATAAATTAATATATATATTAATATATTAACAAATAAACAAAAAATAAATAATGTATATATGTATATATATATATATATATATATATATATATATATATATATATATATATATATATATATATATATATATATATATATATATAGGTATGGGTATGCTTACTTGCATGCTCCACGAAAATCAAAAGCAGTCAGGGATGTCTGTAAATTGTGAAGATTACTGTTGTAGCAAAGCTTAGCTTGTAAATAGCAACTTGAGTCAGAGTGAGATGCTACAGGCAGTTCAGTAGCTACAGGCAGGTCACTGGCTACAGGCAGGTCCGTGGCTACTGGTAGGTTACTGGCTACAGGCAGGTCACTGGCTACAGGCATGTTCCTGGCTACAGACAGGTCCGTGACTACAGGCAGGTTACTGACTACCGGCAGGTCAGTATCTACAGGCAGGTTACTGGTTACAGGAAGATCACTGGCTACTTTTACTGCTGATATAGAAGCTATTGATAAACTTTACATACCATTTATTTTATACTTAACAACAAATGTAATATCGACTGTGTAAGTAATTCATTAAACCCCGAGACACTTCCCAATGTGCATATTTAAAGCATACACAGCATACGGTTTAACTTGACATTCCAGTGTAATCTGAATGATCACTTTTAGTTTCTTTGAGTTAAGATTAAAAGGGTTAAAATCGACCTTGGTTTTGTATGACACGGCATGTGTTGAAAACCAACTATCTACGTATATTCAAGCTATTAAAAACACGTTTTACCTGTCAAAACAAGAACAAAACCAACCAACATGACGACACTTGTAATCAAAGCTAACGATATTAATCATAATTCAATTTGTCACAATTATTAAATTGACTTAAATCAGCAGACGCATCACGTTTATCACAGTAATCAATCCCTTATCTATCACGACAGAAATCAATTCAACACAGACACACGAGAGGTTTGATCACATTATCACTGGGTCCTAACAACTTATAACACACTACCAAAGCTGGATTCAAATAGTATTTCAACTATTCAATAGATCAATTTTACGTTAAATAATAATATACTGCAGAAATGGAAATACCTAATTATGAAATAGAGCTATTTAAAGACGCTCTATTCATTTATTCCGCTGATTATTTTACACAAGCAGACCCGCAACGTAAGCATACGACGCTATTTAGTTGTTTTATTATCTACTTTTTAGTCATTCATAATTTGTGAATTCGACACTACCCTCTCTTCCCCCCCCCCCCCCCCCCCCCGCCCCAGTGAAAGGAGTCTTGTGTGACGACATTTTACGGATGACAATGAAAAGATAAGTAGAACTTCTTACCTCTCCATAGTTTCAAATCGTTTAATAGCTAAATTATGTGCCCCTAATGGCCGTCACATTGTAAACATTCGGTATGAACCACAGCTCAGCGATATGCCTAGAGAGCGGGGTAGGAACGGCAAAGCCTTTACTTGGTGGTGTATCGCATGGTCCCCACGTAGAGAATTATATACATATAGATGGCTAAAAATGTATATAAAGCTAAGACAGCTTTATATTTTAACTGGCACTAGACGACCCCGTTTCCCGTTGGAAAAAGGTTTGTCAGCTGCAATGCGCAACGCAAAATAATATCCCACTACTCCCACTCATATAAAGCATCTTCACACCAAAGTGGGAATGAATCTTTCTTGGGTTTAACATAACAATAGCTCCCGTCCCCTTGAAGACATATAATGTTCTGGTGAACGGAAAAAAAAGTCACAGGGAAAAAACACACAGAAAAAAGTCAGTTATTATTCAATTTATTTTACATAGTAGCGAAGCAATGACATACAGCAAGTATATATATATATAAATATGTTACGGTCAAAGCCCGAAGTGCGGCCAATGCTAGGATTGGCCGGCCAATCCGCGCATTGGCCGGCTCTCTTGGCCAAAGCCCGAAGAACTTAGCACTAAGATCTTATTTCGTACATTGGCCGGCCAATGCGCGCACTGGCCGGGACGTATTGGCCAAAGTCCGAAGCGCTTAAACTTGACAGCGTATTTTGTACATTGGCCGGCCAATGCGCGCACTGGCCGGTATGTCCTGGCCAATGTTCTATCTAGACTAAGTTGTGATCGCATTTTCATTATTCTGGGTGCGTTTTCATTGAGAGTAACGTATTGTTTAGCTATTGTTTATATAGCATTCTATATGCAAGGCGACATGGATCAAAAGGGCCGTCAGACCATGAGACAGACATAGCAGATGGCTGTCAAAAGAAAAAAATGTAAATCCATGTTAGTTTCCATATATTGGCTCTCGATAAAATAGTTACTGAGGAAGATCTTGAGAACATTGAACAAGAAATGGAGATTGTCATAAATGCAACGACATCCTCAGCTAACACATCTACTGCCGTGGCGGAACGTCCAGACCAGTTGCGTGACAATTATGTGGCCAACAGATTCTGTATAATTTGTGAAAAACATTGTAGTGCAGCTCATTCTTTTGGATCCTGTGGCAACGATGTCCATGCTATTTGTGGAATACCCAATGAAGCAGACGAAGGGTACGGAGGGAACATTACCTGCAGATTGTGTCACAACAAACAAGACATCATGGAACACAGGTCAGCAGCTCATACTGGCTTGCAAACTCAAGGTGCTAAGATGCTTAAAACATCAAATACAAAATTTAAAGATGGTGAAGTGGGTGACAATGTACGCATCCGTTTTCCAGATGTTGACAGAGGTCACGGTGATCCCCGAAGCGTGATTGCAGTTGTCATGAGCGTCGAGGGCGGTTTCTACAAATTAGAAACGGCACATGATGTTCTAAAACAACTGTATGCTAAATGTGAGTTTTCAATTCTTCACGAAAAACTGCTCTTATTGTCGTCAGTTGGCACTGAGGAAAAATCACTACATCTTCACAATCATTGACTGGGGGCCAAGGCTACACTCGCTGCAATTGCACAACTAAGTGCACAACAAATCGCTGCAAGTGTAAAAATAACAAGCTGCTATGTAATTCTAAATGCCATAAAAGTTCAACTTGTTGTAACAAATGATGATATTGATAGATTGAGACTATAGTACAATAAAAAATTTGAATGTTTCTGTCATTTACTTTAATTAATAATCAATAAAGACTTAATTTCATGATCATTACGGCATAAAAAAAAAACAAAATCTGCTCATGATCTTCTAATTCGAACTTTGGCCGGTCGTCCCTAGCCAGATGATCTTCTAATTAAGACTTTGGCCGGTCCACCATGGCCAGTCCGAGGACTGGCCGGCCAAAGGCCGAAATCAAGAGCTATTTCAGACTTTGGCCGAAATCAAGCAAAGTTTCGGACTTTGACCGACCTATGGGAGGCGATATTGGCCAATGCACGGATTGTCCGGCCAATCCTAGCATTGGCCGACTTCGGGCTTTGACCGTAACATATATATATATATATATATATATATATATATATATATATATATATATATATATATATATATATATATATATATATATATTAATACTAATAGTTTCGCTGTCTGTGTATCTATCTGTGTATCTATCTGACAAGAACGCTATAGAGAAAACACAAGCAAATTAAAAACATGCATAGTAAAACGGAAGCGAAACATGACGTCACATTGGAGCATATAGTAGAAATTAGTCTACAGCCGGAGAGTGCACACAGTAATATGACGTCATTGATTCTCGAGTAAGCATAGAATTAAAAAGACAATTTTGTCTAATCTTAAAAGTGGTTTGCGTGAAGAGTTTCTTTCATACAATTCTTCGGGTAGGCGCGAAACCCATCCCCCGCGTAAGAACGTCTAAGCCGAACCCCCCCCCCCCCCCAACTCAAAAGAAATGTCGTCATCGATACTCTATAATAAAATTACAGCCTAATTCATGTGTCTAATCTAAAAGGTGGTTTGCGTGCAGTTTCTTTCATGCAATTCTTCGGGTAGTGGCTAAGCGTGACACCAGTGTTTCTTTCAGACTTTTTCCTCCCCGGAGGGAGGAACTTTTTCTAATCTAAAAAGTGTTTAGCGTGCACAGTTTTTTTCATGTATCTCTTCCGGTAGGGGCGAATCCCCGCCAAGGTTCTTCCTTTAGTTTGTATGATCTACAAATGCGACCAGTGTTTCTTTCAGACTTTTTCCTCTCCGGAGAGGGATGGGGGTACTTGAAATTTTCGGGGGCGGGGGTAGAATTATCTGGGAGGGGGCGGACACTGGAAAAAGTATATAATTATATTTCGTTGAATGGGACGGTATACATTTTGGGGGGGGGGGGTTGGTTTTAGTTTAGAGAAAATAGACAGCACTATCAACCTAGCGCCCGTTGTATCCTTCCTCAACGGACCATTTTTCTCGTATATATATGTTCAAGCAATTAGCCTGTATACATACGACTAACAAATCATTCTTAAATTAAAGTTATTTGAGACTTCTCATCCAGGTAGGCAGCTGTTGGACACAGCGGGCTGAAGACGTGAACAGCTGCATTTCATGCCTTTCATACATTGCTAAAAGTGCTCAGAAATAAATATATATAAATGTTCATACATCGACAATAAACAATTTCTTACAACATTTAAACGGTTCCATCAATTCAGGAAAACACCGTTATTTTTGAGATTAGGTATTTTGTATTTATTTACAAAGAGTATTTTTATTGTGATGCAAACATTCTCTAAAACTTCAAAGTCGCACTGAAGTAAAAAAGACAAAAACAACACAATTATTAAAAAAAATTATTTATTCATATAGGTGTAATATCACATTCAATGCTGAACTTAATAATAATTTGTATTAAAAATGAACTAAAGATATGATTTGTTTTATTACATGAAATATGAAAATGTCCTGATGAAGATCGCGACCAGGAAAAACATGGACACTTGGATTTGAGATGCAGAAGCTGTGAAAAAAATATATTTTGTTAAAATTGTGTAAAAGTCATCGAGAAAAATAAAGATCAAACATACAGCCTCAAGGTTTAGGAAATAAAATATTTATGGAAGGGTAAAACGATATTAGCACTTGACAAAGAAAACCGTGAAATGGAAGGACATTTTTAAAAGATGTAAGCCAGAAGAAAAGAAAATTGTGTTTAGAGCAAGTTGCATAACTGTATATTTCATATTTTGACAAATGTCAAATCCTTACTGCAGTCTATTATGGAAGAAAAAGCAACCTGATTTGACAGACCCAAGAGTTGGTGGCTATAATGATATTTATGACGGGCTTTGAGCTTAAGGTGCGCAAACGTCTATTTTCTGTTAGTTGTGCATGTCAGTGTTTGTGTCAACTTTTATGTCCCTGTCTGTGTCAATACTAATATCAGTGGTTTAATGTATTAGTGCATTGACAAAGTATTTGTATGACATAATTATACTCCCATACAGAGTTAGAGTGTGTGTGCATGATTTACCCACACAGAATGATTTACATTTCCTCTACTTCGAGTAGTATGTAACTTACATCTACGCACATATTTACTTATAACACCCCTCCCCCCACAGAAAAATGTACATCCCCCACCACACAGATTTACTTACACTCCCCACCACACAGATTTACTTACACCCCCACCACACAGTATTACTTACATCCGCTACCACACAGAGGCTTGATGACTTTGTTCAGCTTGTCTTCATACCCAGAGGCGGCACTGCTGGTTGATCTGCATGTGGAATCTTGTCTCAGACCGTCAAAACAGGTAACGCCAACATTGGCACGTCTGGGGCAGAACAAGTTCACTTGTAAGGTTTGGATGGCGGTGTAATGTGTAATGTGAATGTAATGAAAATGTGCGTAATGTGGATGTAATATTCTAATGTACACAGCAGACTGGATCAAATATTTAAGCAACTCAACCTTTAAATTGTCAATAAAATGTAAAACATTCTACTATGTGAAACCAACTGCAAGTTTCAAAACTTTAATTTAAAAAATTAATTTCCTTTTTAAACTTTGTAATGTGGAAAGTTTTTACATGTTTTCGATAGAAGAAGAGCAAAGAAAAAAAATTGAGACAGAGGTCACTGACCTGCAGAACTCGTCCTTTTGCATGTCCTTGCTGACCGAGTTGACGAAAGTTTCTGTGGCGGCACACACTCTCATGCGGTCGTTGCAGGTTCCGATAGCAGCTGGAGAAAGATTTTGTTCATTTATTTTTCAACTGATTTACTGTAGTTAATAATGGGGTACACGTGTAGTCAACAAATGTAGCCCATCAAGTTAAACATTTTTGATGCACTAGCGGCCAATCAAGCTATATATTGATGCTGCACTAGTGATCATAAAAGTTATACATTGATGGTGCACTAGGAGAAGATAACCCGATTAC